CATTGACTGCTTGTACTGTTTGTAATAGATGATTCATCCTCTTAGTAAACTCATTGTCCCTGATGTGCTAGACATCAGAAATGTAAGACAACGTAAGGCATGGGGTCCTCACTGTTAACTCTCTCTGCTCAGCAGGAGAGCCAACAGAAACATACGTACATACGTACATACACTGAAGATGTGTGTGGGTACAGATAATTCACTGTGGGCAGATTGTTTTGAGGGGGCACAATGAAAGCCTCTGTCAGCCAAATGAAAGAAACAGGTCAGCAAGCTGACTACATTCAGAGGCCATGGGAATTATTTGTAGAAAAACGTTAGGCAAAATAGGACCTGGTCCTATTTTCTCTTAAAAAATAACGTGGAACAGGTTAGAGAGATGGCTTTTCATTTAAGAACACTATTGTTCTTGCAGAAGATCTGGTTTTGGTTTCGAGCACCCACATGGTGGCTAATAACCATTTGGAAGTCCAGTTCTAGAAGATCTGACATCCTGTTTTGACCTCTGCAGGCACCATACATGCATGTGGTACACTACCTGAATGAAAACAGCCATACACATCAAGAAATAAAATGGCACTTTGCAAGGAAGGGAAGGAAGTATTAATAAACTTAGCAATGTTCAGTATGATCACCTTCCTGAAAGTGTGCACTAAGCATTTCCAGATTACCAACCTGTAGCCCCAGATTCTATTCAAGAAGAGTATTTAATATCTCTAGTTCTCTTCAAACCTCTAACATAGATGACGTGCCTACCACACGTCTTGGGTCTTGCTTACCTGGGTCTTGCTTAGTTCGCTGGGAAAAAAAAAAAAGAAAAAGAAAGAAAAGCACTAGGAAGAAATCTTAACCATCATCAGAACCACCAGCAAGTCATTTTTCCCCAAACACACTGCATCTTTAGGCTTTATAACTTTTTTTTAATTAAACATATTTTTTTCTTTTTCTGAGACAGGGTTTCTCTGGGTAGCCTTGGCTGTCCTGGACTCACTTTGTAGACCAGGCTGGCCTTGAACTCGCAGAGATCTGCTTGCCTCTGCCTTACAGACTGTTGGGATTTTAGCATATGGGAACTGAACTCAGATCATTAGGCTTTGAGGGAAGCATTTTACACACTGAGCCATGTTGCTGGCAGAAATATCTTCCTCTCCCTCTCCTCTCTCTGTGTGCACACATGTATTCATTCAGCCATGATAGGCTTGGAGGACAACTTTCAGGAGTCCATTCTCCTTCCATCCTTGTTGAGGCTTTCTCCAGCTTTCTCTAGCTTTCTCATCCTATGAAACTCATGCTGTAGTAGCCATCTGAGCTTTTACGTCTAAAGTGTAAATGGTTTTATTTCTATTCTTATATTTGATTCAATGTTTCAGCGAGAATAACATTTTAGATGGGAAATCATTGCCTTATATTCTCACTTGTTTTGTTTCTTGAAAAAAGGCTTAAAAACTAAGTTATTGTGTGTGTGTGAGTGTGTGTGTTTATTATGTGTGGGCCATTGCATGTTACTTAATGCACGTGGAGGTCAGAGGACAACTTTATGTAGTCAGTTCTTTCCTCAGGCTTGCACATCAAGTGCCTTTACCTACTGAGCCTCCTTGCAGGCCTTTTCTTGAAAAATTTCAGATCACTTCCTGGGGTGTCAAATGGACTTAGAGAAGTTGGGTAACAGAGTGAGGACTGAATATGATCAAAGTACATTGTATGCATTGATGAAATTAAAATTTAAGATCCTGTATGGCATCCCTTTGATTCATGGTAGTCTCAAATTTCCCACTCCCTGCCCTTTATTAATTTCTTCCTACTGTTAAACAACCTTTTTGGGTTTACCCGGGAAGCTTTTTCTTGGCATTTCTCCTGTAGTTTAGTGAGGCGATGGCTGAAGTGCAGACATCGGATGGTTCTGCTGGGCTTCATGTCCATGCATGGGCAGAGCAGTCCTTGTGCTGTTTTCCTCCTCTGCTTGCTCGGGCTCTGAGTCACTGAACAGTCTGCTTGCTGATGGACCTCTCTAGTTTTCTACTAAATCCCAGTTACCAATGCTTGTAGGTCTTCTTTCTTCTTTTTGTGTGTGAATATGTTCATGTGGGTATGTGTGTGTGTATGTGTGGATATATGTGTGTATCTGTTTGTGTATGGCCTTCAGAGGTGGGCATTGGGGTTTTCATTGTTTGCCTTCTTTTTTTTGAGGCAGGGCTTCTCACCGAATCCAGAGCTTGCCAGTTCTTTTGGACTGGCTGGCTAATGAGCTGGTGAGTTCTGTTTCTGCCCCTCCAGCACTGCGATTATAGACGTGTGCCACTCTGCTTAGCTTCCATGTGGGTGCTAGGGGTCCAGACTAGTCCTCAAGATTGTGAGCCTGGTACCTTACTGATTGAGCTATTTCATCAGCCCACTTTCTTCCTTCCCTCCCTCCCTCCCTCCTTCCTTCCTCCTCCCTTCATCTATCACCCTGTCTCTCCTCCTTCTCCCTCAGGTGGTCTTGCTATAAAGCTTTGGCTGGCCAAAATCACAGTTCTCCCGAATCAGCCTCTGAAGTGCTGGAATTCTAATCATCATGTGTTATGCCCAATGGCTTGCAGGCTAGTTGCCTCAGAGAAATGTTTACTCCTATCTTAAGCTCTCTGTTGAAATGTGAGGTAGGACTGGATTTCCCTGAAAGTGTAGACTTTCAATCCCTCTCCTTTTGGTGACACCCAGTTATATTTCATGCCCAGGCTTCTTATCTGCTCTTTACTTGGCTATTCTAGGCTTCCATCTAGGAGAGTGAAACTATAATTATCTTCCTTCAAGTTTTTCGTTGCTCCTTCCAGTTTCTGCACTTCCAGGGTTCACTGGCAAGAACTGTCATTTTCTTGTTGGCTTTACCTAAACATACAGGTTTCAGTTTTCTCTGGTTTGCTGAATCAATCATTCCTCCATCCATCTCTCGCCTTTATAATTTTCCTACTTAGAATTTTTCCTCTTCATCCTTGAAATCTTTTCTAAAACTGAGACCTTCATACATGCATATAATGTGTTTGGATTAAACCCACCCTCATTCTCTCCCCTCCAGCTCCTCTCCTTTCTCTCCTGTGCCTTTTCACTTTTGTTGTGGGTTTTATGTCTTTATCTTTTGACTAGGAGGATGTGGAGAGGAAACAGAGGTCAATGTCTATGTCTAGCCTGGCGTTTTCAATTAGAAATTTCTTTTCCTGTCATTACCCTTTTCTCTCTGTCTCCTAAGAAAGCTCCTCAGTCAGAAACTAATTATTCCTCTTTGTACAATCAGCGATCAGCAGTTACCACCGGCTCCATTTTGTAGTCCCTTCAGAACTTCAGTAGAGACTGGGTCTTCTCTTGGCTTCCTTGACCCTGTTCCCTTTGTTTTCCTCCTCACTGGACTAAAGAACTAGAACTTCTCTGTTCAGTTTCTAGTTGATCTTATCTCACCTCATGATTTCAAAAGCCATCAGACTCTTAAGAGTCCTCTCTAGTCTTGTTCTCGTTTCTGAATGCCAGTCTACTTAACACTTCCACCTGGATGTCTAGTATTTGTCAAACCGTGTTCGCAATTTAAATTGAAATTTCCAAGCAAATTTTACCTATATTAGTAAATGGCATTGGCTCCGCTGATATTTTCTTCTTCTATGCACAGTTAAGGTCTTTCCCCTTGGCCTGTCTCGAAACCCTTTAGGCTCCAGAGTCTTTGTCAGCCACCAAGGCTCTCCCAAACTTCACATGGCTAAGGAGATAACATTGACATTGCCTTCCTTGTCAATGGGATCTCACTCTCTACCCAGTTGCCCAGCTCTCAAACTTTAGAGTCTTCTGTATTTAGTTTAAGCTAAATATGGTACAAGTTGAGACAAATATTTCTTAATATTGCTCTGGAAAAGTTTTATCTATGTGAATTTGCAGATTGATTTTATATTTTTCTTACTTAGATATTAAAAAGCATATCACTTTATTCATAAGATGTCTAGTCCAGTAAAATATCAACCTAAATTCTTTTGCAACCAAAATCTCTGTCCCATCTAGCTTCACCATTTTTCAAGTCTGGGATTACATACAGACCAGAATTCTTTTTTCCAATGTTTCATGTTTTAACACAGAAGGACTTCCCTGGAAAAAGTTGCAGCTCTTTTTCTCTGGGGAAACATTGATTAAGTTAGTGATTTTGGGAGAACAAACAGGGTCCAGTGTGCTAGGATTGCTTGGGCAGCCGTTTTGGAGTCTTTTCACTGACACACTATGCATACACGGGACTTGGTGGGTCAGCTCCCAAAGGTTTCACTTGTTTGCCTGGGTCAGAAGCTGAGACGTGTAAAGGAAAGGCAGTCATTATGAAGCAGTTAGCCAGCTCTCTTGCTTGCCTTTGAACTAACTTTTCTATTTTGGTATTTTGCATTTTATTTTATGTGCACAGGAGTATTTTACCGCCATGTATGTGTGGGCATTATGTGCATGCTGGTGCCTGAGGAGGTTAGAAAGGAGCATCTGATTCCTTGGAACTAGAGTTATAGATGGCTGTGTGTCACCATGTAGGTGCAAGGGTGAAGGCCCCTTGCCCCAAGGTAGTCCCTGGCGCCTTGTGTTCCTGCGTGGTCCCTGCTGATCACGGATCAAAGCTAGTTTCCGCTCCCACCTCAGGCCATTCGAGCTTCCTGGGTACTTCTGAAGCACTCGTGGCTTCTTTTCTGCAGATGTCGGAGGGACCGTTCTTCACCAGCCTTGGAGACGTCCCATTGCAGAACGTCCAGGGAAATCCAAGGCTGTCGGCTCCAGAAGGGGTCGGCCCAGCCCCTCCCAGAGTCCCTCCCCCGCAAGCCCCGCCCCCAATGGCTTTCCGCCCCCTCAGGCCCCGCCCCCCGGTAGCCTCACGCCGTCGGGCGGCCGGCCCCTGACCACTGCGCTTGCAGTGCGTCTCTTGTGCCCACCTCGTGAGGCTCTGATTGGCCCGTTCTGGCATCGGCTCACTCAGCTGTTCCGGTCGGCCGAGGCTCGCGCCTGCGCAGTGCGCCCGGCAGTCAGTCAGGTAAGGCGCAGACCTCGCCGGTGGCCGAGAGCGCAGCGTCGTCATGACTGAGGGCACGTGAGTCCCGGACACTGGGCCTCCCCGCGGGGTGTTGCGGGGTGTCGGCAGGGCGGTGGCGGGGAAGGTGCCTGGACAGCAGGGTGGCCTGGCTGGTGGCCCTGCGGGCCTGGATTGCAGGCATCCCACCCGGGCGGAGCCTGACGAGCGCTGCTCCCTCTCGCTGGTCCCCTCCCCTCCAGGTGTCTGCGGCGTCGAGGGGGACCCTATAAAACCGAGCCGGCCACTGACCTCACCCGCTGGCGGCTCCGCAATGAGCTGGGTCGGCAGAGATGGACGTATTTCCAAGAGGAGGAAGCCCCTGGTCGACCACAGACCGGCCTGGAGGCCCACTCTTTGGGACTGGACACAGTAAGTGATGTGATTCTTCGGGCCCCGGCTCATCCCAGGCTGGAAGTGACCACACACCAGCCTTCGCCTTGCCTTCCTGAGCCAGAGCCCTGGGACAGTGGAGAGCCTTGTTCAAAAATCGGGCGTCCAGCCAGTAATAGATGCATGTATGTAAACCAGTGTACTCGTGGGAATAGTGTAGCATGAAGAAAAAGCTAAATATGAGGGGGCGAGGAAGGGACTGTGCAGATAACGGACACGGGTTGTGAAAGGAGATGTAAAGCTTGCTGTTTTATAGTTCTCCTGTCACGGAGTTTTTGTTTTGGTGGTGGAATAATGCACAAAATATATTGGGCACTGAAAGTGTAAAAGTTAATGTAAAGCTTCATAGCTTCCTTTTTCAAAGGACAAGTTCATTAAGTTCGATCAACTTTATGTCTGGTTAGTTTTGGAATGTGATGTTTTTATATGTTTGCAAGTGTTTTTTCTTTAAATAATAAGCTTATAATTAAAAAAAGACTTATTTATTTATTATGTGTACAGTATTGTGCTTGCATGTGTGCCTGCATGCCAGAAGAGTCGCCAGATCCCATGTGGTTGCCAGGAATTGAACTCAGGACCTCTAGGAGAGCAGGCATTGCTCTTAACGGCTGAACCATCTCTCTAGCCCCTTATAATTTTTTTTTTTTTTTTAAAGATGTGTGATCTTGGGCATGGAGGGCATCTTTGTAATCCTAGCCACTCTGGAGCCTGTGGCAGGGATATAAGTCTGTGATCTGCCTGGGCAGTTTAGTGAGACCTTGTCTCAGAAAATAAGCAAAGAAGCTGGTGATGGTGGCTAAGACCTTTCATCCCACCACTCAGGAGGCTGAGGCAGGTGCATTTCTGTGAGTTAGAGGCCAACCTGGTCTACATAGTAAGTTGTAGGCCAGCCAGGGCTATGTAATGAGACTGTATCTCAAAACAACAACAAATAAACAAGCAAAGAAAAAGAAGGATGGTTAACGTTTGTCTCAGTTCAGTCTCCAAAACTGAAAACAGCAACAAAAAGTGTGAGGACTTGGGAGCAGTGCTTCCTTCCAGAGACATGAATTGAAGCAGCCTTTTTTTTTTTTTTTCTTCAGTTCCTCCATTCCAGAGACCTGTGGAAGAAGTTGCCCTAACTTGGTTTTATTTTTGAGCACCTTTTTTTTTTTTTAAATAAATTTTGATTTATAGGAGAATTACAAAGATGGATGTGATTTTGTTTATATTCACAAGATGAAATACCCTGACCGGATGTTCTGGTTGTGTGCATCCATGGCTGTATGAAGCTCAGCTAGTCATGGAACAGTTAGCTAACAGGCTTCCTATGGGTCCTGGCCGTCAGCTGGGAAAGCCATCTCTGGGGAACCGCTATGCTATTGTATGAGCTGTTTCTGAGAAAAGGAATAGTCCCAGTATCAGTTGGGCATTAGTGCCCTGCACTGTTGTTCTGTGTTGTGTTTATTTAAGATGTCTTGAAGTTTTGAAGGAATTTTCAGATTGGTGGCTGGAAGGTAAATCATGACAACATGGAAATGCTTCTTTTTTTTTTTATTGTAAATGGGGTGATATTGTCATTGAAGACTTTCTTGTTTTAGATTGAAACGGTTGAAAAATTGAAAGTAATTAAGATTCACCCTGTTGACTCTGATTGTGAATGAAGAGGGATCCTGGTGGCAGCGGGCATCCTCAGCTCTCATCTTTTCTTTCCCTTTGCAGAGGAGTTATTTCAAGGACTTACCTAAGGCTCAGACAGCTCATGAGGGGGCCCTGAATGGCATGACGTTTTATGCCAAGCTGCAGGCTGAGGACGGACACTGGGCGGGTGATTACGGTGGTCCACTCTTCCTCTTGCCAGGTAGGAGCGTGCTGCCTCTACTCAAGGGGAAGGCTGTTCTGGATTACCAGGGTGTGTGCAGGGGTGCCTGTGGAGGTGGGGCGAGTGCTTGACCTACCTTGGTCAGGCAGGTTCAAACCCAGGAGCTCATTGGAAAAGCTCTGGAGGAGCCTGGCCTGTAACCCAGTCATCCTGCGGCCAGGATTAGGGAACCATGGTGAAGCACAGTTAGCCCGGGGTAGCTTGGCAAGTACTCTAATAATGGAAGCAAGGAATTTCCTAGGAGAGGGGGGTGGGTGGTCTTGAGTCCCAGAGCAGGATGGAAAGGGCACTCTAGGTAGAAGGCCCTGGCAGTGCTAGGGTACTGTAGAGAGGCAAGGTTATGGTGGAGGAGTCGGCGCCCACGCGCGTGCAGTTTGAGAAGCAGGATACCCACTTTGAACTTGCTGTCGAAGGATGGCTGGGGAGTTCTGCAGGGACACCACAGGTCCAGGTTGGTGAGTGATAGAAGGCTTACATTTGAACACACTGCTCTCTGATCTAGTTTGCTTGTGTAAGACTGGGAAATGTTTCTCTAAAGGGAACCATATTCTTGCTTCGCGACCTTTTCCTCATTTTTAACTCTGCTATCTCAGTAGCCTGAATTCTTCTGAAGATACTGCTTTGTTTCTGTAGTAGCTGCCCTTTCCTTCTCTTCCTATGCCATACCATGGGCATATGATATGCAGCTGCTCTGTGGGTGATGAGGATAAGAGCTGTGCATCCGAAGACCAGGCTTGGGATGAAGGTTTCTTGTGCAGTATCATCTCTCCCCATATATTCAAAATAGCACATATGTGCAAATAGTTTATAAAACAGAACAGTACAATCTAAGCAATAACTGTTCTCCTGGCTGGGCAGTGGTGGCGCACGCCGTTAATCCCAGAACTCAGGAAGCAGAGGCAGGCGGAACTCTGAGTTCAAGGCCACTCTGGTTTACAGGAAAAGTTCGAGGGCAGCCAGGGATATACAGAGAAGCCCTGTCTTGAAAAAAAAAAATCAACAAACAAACAATCAAAAACTATTATCCTGTCAAGGGTTACTATTTCAGTCCCAAATAGGTGTTAAAGCAAAACCTGGTTGCCCCTATGGTCGCGCTGATCTTGAACTGACTCTTCTTAAAACTTCAGAGCACTTGTGGGAGGTGTCTTAAATGCTCTGCAGGCCCTGGCCTGAGAGTATTAACTGGATTTTACCTGGTGTTTCCAAAGTCATTGGTTGGGCCTGGAAAGAATGGCCTTCCTAGGCTTGATTGGCTGAGAAGGAAAGCCTCAGGGCAGCACTGTCAGAGAGAAGGTCCTCAGGAAGAAGGGCTTGGGTGTAGCAGCGCTAGTACCTGTTCCTAGTGTGGAACATCCTTCTCACCACACAGGTCTCCTGATTACGTGTCACGTGTCACACATCCCTCTGCCAGCCGAATACAAGAAGGAGATGGCGCGGTACCTGCGGTCAGTACAGCTTCCTGACGGCGGCTGGGGCCTGTGAGTATGTCCAGCTGTACACATAATGTACATGTGTGTGCTTGTGTGTGTTTTTATGTAGCTCATGCTTGGTTTTTCAGGGAGCTGTTGAGAAGTGGGGTGACTGTAACCATGGGCCTAGGGTGGCGTGGGTGAAAGCCTGGCCGGAGGAGAGTAGGCTGGTACCTATGTGCAGCCTGGCCACGGTTTTATCTCTGGTCTTGTGAATGGGTGTCTTGGGTGGGAGCCTCTTGATACTCACATGCCAAGTGAAAGATATCATATTTTAAAATTGTGGAGGCAGCAGAGAGCAGAGATGGCAGCCAGTGTAGGGCCCCCACAGAGCCTTCTCAGTGTGCTTTCCTGATGTGGTGCCCACTGGGAGCAGAGGGGCAGGGCAGGCCCTGCCCAGGTGATTTTGGAGCAATTGGATATCTCTCATTGCATGAACTAAACTTCCCCTGGGAATTCCTGAGCCATGCTTCCCATGTTGGTGGGAGGTATTACAGCAATCTCTTCTAGGCAGATTCCACTGCCAGTATTGTTTTATTTCTTAGACATAGTGACAGATGACAGGAGCCTTTTTCCCACCATCTCATACTTCCATTAGGCACGTTGAGGACAAGTCTACAGTGTTTGGGACCGCCCTGAACTATGTGGCTCTCAGAATCCTAGGTATTGGACCTGATGATCCTGACCTTGTGCGTGCTCGGAACATTCTTCACAAAAAAGGTAGGTCCCATATGGCATGTGGGGTTTTTGTCATGCTGACATAATGAGCCCTTATGGGAGTTAGTTAGATGCACCTCTAGTTGAATCACTCAGAAAAACACATGTGTAGGTCGGAACTGTTGAGCTGTTTACTAATATTATTAATAATGATTATTATTAATTTTAACTATTTTTAAAAGACTGATTTATTTTTATGTGAATGGATGTTTTGGCTTGCAAGGATGTCTGTGCACCACATGCATGCAGGGCCTGGGAAGGTTAGAAGAGGGCACCAGACCCTTTGGAACTGTAGTTACAGATACTGTTGCTAGCCGCCATGTGGGTTCTGGGGACTGAACTCAGGTCCTCTGCAAGAGAAGTCTGTGCTTTTAAGTCTCTTGAGCCATGTCTCATGCCCTAATTTTATTATTTATGGTTTTTTGAGACAGGATTTCTCTGTGTAGCCTTGGCTGTCCTGGACTGGCTTTTTAGACTAAGCTAGCCTCGAATTCACAGTGATCCACCTTCCTCTGCCTCCCTGAGTGCTGGGATTAAAGGAGTGTGCTACTATGCCCAGCTTTAATTTTGTTATTTCTAATTTAATTATTAATTAATGTATGTGTGTGTTTGTTTTGTGAGATGGGTGTATTCTGTGTGTGTGTGTTTATGCCACAGTGCACATAAAGAGGTCAGAGAATAACTTTGTGCAGTTGATTTTCTCCTCTTTATTTTTACCTGAGTTCTAGAGATCAAACTCAGATTATTAGTCTTGTGTGGCCAGTATCTTTGCCCACTTGGCCTAGACACAATGGGAGGGTTTTTTTTTTTTTTGTTTCTTTTTTCTTTTCTTTTCTTTTTTGAGGCAGGGTCTTATGTAGCTCAGGCTAGCCATGAAATCACTATGTTGCTAAGGTTGGCCTTGAACTCCTGATCTTCCTGCCTCTACCTCCTGGGGCTGGAGTTATAGGCATGCACTACAATGCCTGGTTTATGTAGTGTTGGGGATTGAACTCAGGGCTTTGTGCCTGCTAGAGAAACACTCTTATCAATTAAGCTATATCCTTAGCTCAAAACAATTTTTTTTCCCTGAGACAGCATTTCTCTGTGTAGCCTTGGCTGTCCTGGACTCACTTTGTAGACCAGGCTGGCCTCGAACTCAGAGATCCACCTGCCTCTGCCTCTCAGAGTGCTGGACTACAGGCGTGCGCCACCATGCCTGGCACAATTTGGCATTTTATATTTGGCTTTCTTCATGAATTGGTAAAGGTTTAGAAGCAACATGCTAATCCAGGGCTTATGCAACAGTCCGTGAAGGCTGCCTTTTGGAGGTGGCTGAGCTATAAGCTAGCAGCCCCAGTGAGGGGTCTGCTTGACCCCTCTATACTTGTCTTTGAGATTGGGCATGATTACTTCTCTCCTCATCCGTGGGCCTTAAAGACCATTCCAGCCCTCGGCGGGCTTTGTGGCCCCCACTGCTCTTAGAACAAAGCTTATCTTGCATTGCCACTCTGCGGCACCTCATGTGGTCCCGCACCCTGCCTCTCAAAGACCCCCTAACTCCTTTCTTGCTCTTTGCTACTTGCTCAAGGACCTTTCATTTTGTCAGTGTGGTTTCCTGCCTCTTCCTGCACGGTTCCCATGCACTCTACCCTCTAACCGCCCTTTCCGCCCTCACTATGCTGTCTTGGAAGCTCCTCTTTGCACTTACAGCATATCTTAAATTTTACTCCTTCAGGATTTCTTTCTGACTTCCCAGGCTAGGTGAAGTGTTCTGGTTGCATTGTGAAATTCTGCAGTCTTGTTATTAAGTAAGTCATCCCCAACCCCGATGTTACTGACAGTGTGCTCTCTGTTCTGTTGCTCACTTGTTCTCACGCTTGCCCAGAGGAGGGATGTGCTTGCCTCATGCTTTAACTAGTAGCTTTCTCCGTCTTTTTGACTTTGACACACTTGGATTTAGGGCAGAACTCTTAAGATATGTATAAGTTGGCGTTGCCACGTGCTGCAGCGAGAACCAACTATTGCTTGGTAGGGGCAGAGCAGGGTCTGAATGTGCAGCTGCATGTTAGCCTACCCCGGAGTCATTTGTGCCAGGCTATCCGCTGAATGGAAATATACAGATGTGTAGCCTGGTCTTGGTTGGAGAAAGAGCAGCCAAGCGTCCTTTCCCCTTCCCCTTTCTCCAGGCTCATGCCACATGCCACTCTGTGTATCTGGGACCCTTTCTCCCTGAGCTACCTGTGCAAATAGCTGCCTTCATGTGTTCCTTCCTGGGGATAGGGACTATAAACAGCTCTCTCGAGGTTAGACACACTTGTTCCTGGCTGCTGTTTCTACCCAGTGGCTGCGGTGTCCTGGGAAGCTGTGGAATACGGCTTCTCATCTGGGAATTATTGGACCTGTGCAAGAAGGAGAAAGAGAAAGCTGCAAGCCAGTATTCATACAGACTGGTAGCTGATTTTTCCTTCTCTCTTTCCAGGTGGTGCAGCGGCCATCCCCTCCTGGGGAAAGTTCTGGCTGGCTGTCCTGAATGTTTATAGCTGGGAAGGACTCAATACCCTGTTCCCTGAGATGTGGTATGCCTGCCCTCTGCCTACTGTAATGCCTTCTCATAGATTGATGGGACCTAATGGGGTCAATTAGCATCTCACTAGAGGCCCCTCATGTGTTCTACAGATATATAGAAAGAGTTTTAGGCAAAGCAAGGCATCAAACACCTGGCTCTATAGCAGGCTGTCAGGTCCTGCAGGTTAATTTCAGAACCCGTTTTGTGGCTTGGGCTTTGTGGGGATAGACAACAGATGATGCCAGTTAATTACAAAAACTTGGAGCATATACAGGAGTAAAGGGGAGAGCCTTCCCCATCCTATGGTCAGTGTTCTTCTATTCATTGGCTATTTTAGAAAAGCATTGGCCCCATTGGCAGCTCTCCTGGCTAGACTTGTCTAAGGAGGCAAGTGCAGGCAGAGGAAAGCCTTGCCAGGGTAGAGCTGGGTACTAAAGCCTGGGGCTCTGGTCTCTGTCCCTGCAACGTCGAGCTCCATATATGTGGTGTACAAACTCCACAGTCATTTGGCATTAGAACGTAGAATGCAAGGATGCACAAACATGGATGAATGCACTCACAGTATCACGAGTGTCCATGCTTGGAAAGGCCCAGGCCTCAGGGCTGTTAGTAGTGTAGGCTTATGTTCTTCTGTCCTGCTGACGGAGCCTGTCTCTTCCAGGCTGTTTCCTGAATGGGTACCTGCACACCCCTCCACTCTCTGGTGTCACTGCCGGCAGGTCTATCTGCCCATGAGCTACTGCTACGCCACTCGGCTAAGTGCCTTAGAGGACCCACTGGTTCAGAGCCTCCGCCAGGCAAGCCTTATGTTATGAGCTCTAGGGACCTTGTGAGGAAGTGGCACACAGCCTTTGGGGGCTTGGGCTTCTGGAGCTTAACTGCTTCTCAGTACTCTGGGGTCCTGAGGAGTCCCCTGCCTTCTCACCTGTAAACAAATGTAAACTGCTGAGAGGGATCTGTGCTGTGGGAAAAGTATCTGCCATTGCTCAGTGTCCCATTGGGACTTGAAGAGTTCACAAGCTGCAGGCCTAGCCTAGCAGTTACTGTTCTTGGGAAATAGTCCTGAGATGGAGTTTGGGAACAGGATTTGTGCTAGATTTAGGCTCATAGGGCTGGGACAGCTCCTCAGATTAGCTCCTCAGATTAACTGAAATAGCTGGGCTTCTCACCCTGTAGCGGTAGTTCATTGGGTGTCCCTAACCCCTGAGAAGGACATGACCCATAACTCTGAGAGTGTACAGCAAGACCATTCCTGCTTTGAGTCAGTCCATTCTGTGTGCCTGAGAGGCATGTTCTCTGCTTCTGCGAGGTACTCAGGTGTCCCCTGCCCTTTAGGAGCTCTATGTGGAGGATTATGCCAGCATCGATTGGCCAGCACAGAGGAACAACGTGTCCCCCGATGAGCTGTACACTCCACACAGCTGGCTGCTGCATGTGGTGTATGGTGGGTGCCGCCTGAGGGTTGGGAGAGCCTGGCTAGCACACAGTTCAGATGTCTCTCAGCTCTCCACATTGATTCATTCCCTCCGCCGATGCAGTAAATGACCTCTGTGCTGGTCCCTGGAGCGGGAGCTGGAAAGACATAGCTTTGCTCTGGTCCCCCAACAAGGACCAGCTGCTATTTGTTGATAGCCCCTCAGTATCACCGAGGCAGGGCAGGGCCATGGTGGGAGGTATGAAGCAAACCTTCCTGGATGGGAAGGAGGAAGCACATGAGGCAGACTGGCCGGAGGAGTCCCAGGGGAAAAGAGAGGTCCAGATGCTGTGCCGTGTAGGACCCATTCCCGTCTGAAGGCCTAGGGCACAGCCTGGCCAGGAATGGCAGGTCCTTCTCCTGTTGCTGGGTGTCCACTAATGCCTTCTCTGCTGCAGGAATCCTCAACCTGTATGAGCGTTTCCACAGTACCACCCTGCGCCAGCGGGCTATCCAGATGCTGTATGATCACATTGCCGCTGATGACCGGTTCACTAAGAGCATCAGCATTGGCCCGGTCAGTGATTACAACCCCTGGGGCCTGGAGCAGCTTTGGTGAAGTGAGCTCCTGTGGGTTCCCTAGGAGGTAGGCTCTGTAGAGCTAGGAATGAGACAGGTGTATTTCCCGATCCCGGCACATCTCCATTTGGGTCAGTGTATTCATTTTCTGGCCTCAGTGAAGCTTTTTCCTCCCGTTGCCCTGCCTGGCTCTTGTCTGAGAGTCTGAGCACCTCCTGGAAGACTATTTCCTGAGCTCTCTGGCCAGCTGGGTGGGGTGTTTTTTCCTCCTTACTCCTCACAGATCCCACCCTAGATAATCCACCTTCTACTCCTTATATAAGGTTTATAGATGACTAGGGGTACAACGTGGTCCACTTCTGGTCTGTCCCATCTGTTTGGGGGACCCCAACCCTCTAGTTCCTGATTTTGCTTCACTTCCTGAGTCTGGCCAAATGTGCACATGCTTAGGGATCTCAAGGAGCACACGGCTCAAGCTGGGTAGTCAGGGCATACTGTCTAGAGCTTGTAGAGACCCAGCAAGGAAGGTGTCCTCATAGATGAGAAGCAACCAGGATGTTGGTTACTATACTGTGGTGAGTTGCCCATAGGTTTGCTGGATAAACCCAGCTAGCACTGAGTTTCTTCCTCCCTGACTGTGGACTCTGGGTCCTTCTTTGTCATACCCTAAGCTGGCCTAGAATCTTGAATGACATATTAGCTTTAGTTTGAGTCTATTCCTAGGGACACGAATGTATAGAGAACTCTTAGGAATGTCCTATTAGAACAGATGGGGCCCTGCCCCAAGGTAAAGTTGCATGGGTCCTGATGGCCACATATCCTGCAGATCTCGAAAACGATCAACATGCTTGTCCGTTGGTCAGTGGATGGTCCATCCTCCTCTGCCTTCCAGGAGCACGTCTCTAGGATCCCAGATTACCTTTGGTGAGTGTGGTTAACTGGTGGCTGGAATGTGGTGCCGAGTGCAGACTGTGGACATACAGCTATAATGCTGGGCCCCTGTGCCTCATCTAGTTAGGGGCGCCAGAGTCAAGCTTCTGAGAATAATATATAGAATCAGGAATGTTACCAGTTAGATTGTCTTTGGGAAGATTTTTTACCTAGCAGTAACTATGGGTCGTTCCCAGAGTCAGAGACAGGAAGCCTGGGAATAGTCTGGCAGTGTTGTGAGGAAGACTGGTAGACAAGAGGCTTGTCAGCCCTGGATTGTGCCCAAGGTAGGGACTGTCACAGGGACCATAGCAGGAAGCCCTGTGCTCATAGAGGCCATCCTCACTCTGGTGGCATGGTGTGAGATGAGGATAGCAAAGTAGAGCTGGCTGTAGAAGCTTTGGCACAGGCCAGTGCCCCCTGGGTAAGCTGTTGTCTTGTTCCTGTTGACCGCAGCCCTTGTACTTGTAAGCCCAGCTGGGCAGCACTGAAGTCAGCTTCGAGGGGAGGTGGGTATGGATGCTCCCAAGGGAGATCTGTGTGCTCTTTTGCTTGTGTGTGGCTCCTGGTGGACACCTAGAATTCCAGCTTTCACCTTGTCCCTGACATAACCTTTTCTTATCTCTATAGGTTGGGCCTTGATGGCATGAAAATGCAGGTAAGGGCTGTAGATCTGAGGCTGCTGGCTCTCTTTGTAACCATCTCTGCTTGTTTATTTATTTTTAAACTCTTTGCATTTATTATGATACAAAAGTGACAGTCAGGCGTAGTGGCACATGCCTGTATTACCGCCACTCAGTTGGCTAAAGCAGGAGGATTGAGTTTGAGGCTGGACAGTGCTGTATAGCAAGACCATATTTCTGAATTAAAAAAAAAAAAATGGAGCAGAGGTGAGAAATCATGAAAAATGAAAGAAAAAGTGACTCCCCCAACACAGTACTTGCAGTAAAAGAGTTACACTTCAGTCCTCGTGTCTGTGGGGCTGTGGGCACCTCCTGGTCTCTGGTTCTACATGTCCATCTAGAGTCCTTCATCAGGGTAGACTAATCCATGACAGATCTGGACTTGGCTCAGTCCCTCTAGAAACCTTCATCCTTTTACTGTGATGGAGAAGTGGCTCTGGGTAGGTAATGGGCCTCTCTGGCAGGTCACTAGGAGCTGTGTGTTCTCAGCTGGTAGAGAGTGCCTTCTGTAGCCACCAGTACAGGAGGAGCCTCCAGGTCAGAGGGGCATGCCCAGGCCTGAAACTTCCTTTCCGTGGTCCCTAAGTGCTAAAGGATGGCGTATCTGCAGTTGCACAGAGCAAGGAGGAAGTGGTTTGCTGGAGATATAGAACATGATGTTAGAGAAAGCATGTGATATGTGGTCAGATTTTACTAGATCTTTCTAGGGCTCTGGCCAAAGGGTGAACAGTGGATATGCTCGCTGGTCAGGTGTTTAGCTGGGATCTTTGGCCCCCAAGGAGCTATGAGAGAGCTTAGGGTCTGAGATCACCCTATAGGATTGAGAGTTGGGGTTTCTGTCAAATATTTAGAGAGTCCTAAAAATAGAGAATAAAACCCAGTGCGGCTTTGATCATCCATTTCCTGCACCAAGACCCAACAGTGTGGTTCAGGAAACCAGGCTTCCTGGGTGGGATTCAATGTGGTCCTTCCTTGCTTTGTAATATGTCAGCTGGGTCCCTGCCACCTCAAGCATACTTGGAGATGAAGGGACTTTGTTTCTGGTTCTCCCACAACTGGGGTACCATGCTGTCATGGGGTATGGAGGAGCCTTCAAGGGACCATGTGGTCCTGGATATGTCCTGAGAAAGTGCTGTTCTGCTGGGGCCTATAAAGGCAGGCGAGGCTGTATTTACCCATGTCTGCCTACAAGACTTTGTATTCTTTCAGGCGTGTGTCAGCCACTAGGGTGCATAGGGCTCAGACTCTGATATAGAGCATTAACTGGGTACGTCTCTGACACCCTTGGATCCTAGGAGTCAGTGGATGGGGTTGCTATAACAGTTCATTCTTTGTGAGCAGGGTACCAATGGATCACAGGTCTGGGACACCTCGTTTGCTATCCAAGCAATGTTGGAGGTATGTGGCTCTGTTTCTCTGTGCAGCCCCCACCTGATCTTCCTGTGTGTGTGAGCCACACATGCACCCTGAGAGAAATGATACATGCCTTCTGTCCCTTGGGCTGCTCACTGCCTGGCTCCCAACACCCTGTTGATAATCCCTAGGAAGCACAGGCCTTCCTTGGCAACCTGAATGCTAAGCTGGGTTAGGGCTTTGGGAGACAAGCCTAGGGTGTGATGGGTAAGGTGGTACTGGCCTAGGTGGGCCTGAGGCTCTTAAAACAGTAGCTGTTACTTGAGTAAGAGAGAATGTTTCTCTGCAGGTGGGGATGAGGTCAGTGAAACCCTGAGGGTGTCTTCGGACAACCCAGGGCCTAGGCCAAGTTGGGGTGTCTGTGTAGGGCCTGGAAGAACAGATGGGACTCAGGTAACTATCCAGGGGGTCTTTTCGTCCATTCCAGTCTTTAGTCCTGTCTCACTGTCTTTTCTGTCTTTAAAGCTGAGAGCATCAGGAAACCCTAGAAAACTCTTAAGCTGTGTCAGTTTCTGGGAGTAGGAGTGGGGCGGCAAGATGTTGCCAGGACACTGGAAGACTGGCTCAGCTGTGCTCTCCTGCTGTCTTCTAGGCAGGTGCACACCACAGACCTGAATTTTTATCCTGCCTGCAGAAGGCTCACGAATTCCTGCGGCTTTCACAGGTGAGGTCCATGCCCCTCCTCATCTGTCCTGCGCCCCGAGCTTAGATTGTTTCTGTGCTGTGCTGCCCTGCCCTGTCCTGTGCCATGTTGATGTACCTGCTCACTCTAAGGTAGCTCTGGCCATGGCCTGCAGTGGCATTTCACTAGCAGGTAGTGAGTCAGTACTGGCTTCCCTAGCAGGCCTGCCGCAGGTCAAACACTGGGTGATGGGCCTTTAGAAACCCATCTGAATGGACCCCACTGCACATGTAGATCTGTTTGCTCTCTTGTTGAACTGAGTCATGCCACTCAGGAGAGCTGGGCAGGAGAGTGGTTTGTTCAGCCCTCCCTGGATGATCTTATTTCCTAGTAGTGATAAACTGATGGGTCTCATGAGTGTCGTGCTGTGCTGACTGTGGCCAGCAGTGGATGCAGCACAGGGTCCCAGGTGCCAGCCTGTTTCTGTTTTCCCCATATGTTCCTTTCTGCTCTCCAGGTCCCAGACAATTTTCCCGACTATCAGAAGTATTACCGCCAGATGCACAAGGTGTGTATGGGCAACCCACCCAAGCCCACAGAGGGCTCAGCTGTCTTCCCTTGGAGGAGGACTTCTGTTGGTTTTCCGGCTTCTTGCTCCATAGATCCCTCCGATCAGGGGCTTCATCATTCCTTGAGGCAGCCTGCACCTTTGTGGCCATGCTTCAGGGTGGTTCAGGTATCAAGCACACACAGATACCAAGAGCTGGACAGTGAGCTTGAGTGTTGAGATCAAGGCAAATGGACTCAGAACCAGCATCAATCTCTTTTGCTGTAAGGGCCTACTTATAAGTGCAGGTTGTGGAATGAGACTTTGACAGAGCCGCTGCCTTTCCATCGTGGGGTCTATAGGGCACCTATGCTGCTGGTTAGGTCCCAGATCACTTTTTATTGCTGAGATCCGAGGGCATTCTAGATGGGCATGAAGTCCTAGATAGTCCCTGTGCTGAAGCTGAAGTCTGTTCAACTGTGTCTAATTTAGGTGCCCCTGTGCGGTGTGCATAGGCCTCACCCTGAGCATTTCAGTTCTGTAGAGGAGGACTGTTGCACTCTGTCTCTGCAGGGCGGTTTTCCCTTCAGTACTCTGGACTGTGGCTGGATTGTTGCTGATTGCACAGCTGAGGCTTTGAAGGCTGTGCTGCTCCTGCAGAAGCAGTGTCCCTCAATCACAGAGCACGTCCCCAAAGAGCGTCTTTATGATGCTGTGGCTGTGGTGAGTACCTACATTATGTTTGCTTCCGCTTTTACAGTTCTGTCTTAGCAGACTAAGGCTAGGGTGTGGGACATCATAGTCTAAGACTGAACCATGGGCTAGACCTTTGAGACTTTGGCTGGGTATGAGCGTAGGGCTCTGTGATGTAAGAAGTGGTGCCTGGCCAGTTCCAGATGTTTCAAGGATCTGTGGTCCCTTAGGCTTCTCTTCTTACCTTGAGAGATTCAAGTAACTGACCATATTTGTGCTGAGATTTCTGCGGGTCTCAGTTGGGAGGGCTGGTGGTCTTTGCTGGGTATCCAGAGAGAAGTTGGAAATGTCTGTTCATTTTTGTGTAAAGTCCTTTTAGCACATCTGCTTCTTGTGTATATTTTACCATGGCGATCTGTATTGGCTTAACATCCAGATGTTGTGTCACTGCACTGGACACTTACTAAGCACGAAACTGGCTTATCACTCATTCCTGTCCTGTTGATTGTCAGACCTGTGGTACTTTGGCAAAGTCATGCTGTACCGTGTGTGCTCAGTTCTCCAAGCATCCTCTTAATTGTTTCAGTTGCTTAGCATGAGGAATTCTGATGGAGGATTTGCTACCTACGAGACTAAGCGTGGGGGCCATTTGCTGGAGTTGCTGAACCCCTCAGAGGTCTTTGGTGAGTGTGTTGACTAGCAGCGTGGTGTGTAAAGCAGGCCTGGCATGCTAGCAGATCCATGCAGAGCCCTCTGTGAGCCCCAGAGTATAGAGTACCTGCATTGTTCTGTGTCAAGCCATGGAGACCTTAGGCTGAGGTTACATTCTCCTGCTTATCCACAGGGCCTTGTGCTATATTAAGGCTGCCATGCATGCTGCATACACTCAGTGACTCCCAGCACTTGTAAGGACCTATGTCAAGGAATGCTGGGCCATAGCTTTGCATTGTCATTGAGGTTCTAGTCTATCAAGGCACACTTTGTCCTCACTGACTCCGACACTTATCGTGTTCCTTCATGCCTTCTAATTTTCCTATTTTTTGAGCTTTCAGACATGTTGTTGTTGTATGTGGGGGATGGACTTGGTAGTAGTAGTAGCTCAGCTGTTTTATGTGTGAGTCTTGTAGCATAAGTGTGCAGGCCTCTGCCCATTGCAGCCACATTGCCCAGGATGATCTTGGGGTAAAGTCCAGGTATAAGTCCTGCATGCTTCAACACTCTTGTTTGCCAAATTCTGAAACTATTGTCCCTGAACTATTGTCCCTGGGCCATAGTGGAGCTCAGGTGCCTCCTTCTTTCCCTTTCTAGGTGACATAATGATTGACTACACGTATGTAGAGTGTACCTCAGCAGTGATGCAGGCACTGAAGCATTTCCATGAACACTTCCCAGACCATAGGGCAGCAGAGATCAGGTAAGGAAGTAAGAGCAGGCCTGAGCAGGGCCACAGTCAGCCACAGCATTCTCTATTCATTTTTTTCAATTAGTGGTGGGGTATTGGGCCATTATGACATAGCAACAATTACTTTGTCTCAAGAGCTTGATTAGTTATGAGACTTTGTGGTATATCTCTCATCATTATAGTTTCCTTCTGTGACTGATGGAGGCTGAAGGCAACAGTAATATAAGGCATAAACCCAAACATTTAAAAGGGGCATATCATGCCTATTTAATAAAACAATAGCAATGGCCTTCTTATTGGGCCCTATGATTTTCCTAGCCATGAGCTTTACCCTGACTTAAAGTAGCACATGTGCTTTTCTTCCTCTGGAGGGGCCTTAACATCATAGCAGAAACAGTGAAACTGCATTCTATTGCTATTATGTTATTGTTGTGTTACTATTGTATTAATGGGCCTGTCTTACCTGATGTTTATATTGTAACAAGTAGGAGCTAGACTGTGGGGACAGTTCTGACCCAACAGGCTTCGTGCTATCCTCAGTATTATGAAGCCAGCTAGCAAGGAAAGAGTTTCTACTTTAGTCTTAGCATAGTTTTGCCAGAGCATATGGTGTTTTTAACAGTAGGAACAATCTAGTTTTGCTTTGTGGCCAACAACAATCTAGTTTTGCTTTGTGGCTATTGTGGCAATAGCCTTGTGGTTTGAGAGGCCTGGCTAAGAGCTCCTAGGGAGGTAGCTCAGTCCTAGCATTGAGATAGTTCACAAAAAAAAAAAAAAAAGAAAAGAAAAAACCATAAATAATATGAGACAATGCACATAAAAAAGTAAGGCGTGGAGAGATGGCTCAGTTAATAGCATCAGCCTGATCTCATTTTTCCCATGAAACATCAGTCAAGTACCTCCATCTCACCCTCTGGGACTGTAAGCCCAATTGTAAGTTGTTTCATGATGGCAATAGAAAAATAACTAATGCAGAAGCTGGTACCGAGAGAGACTGCCGTGGAAGACCTAACCATACTTTTTGGGAGGAATGTAGAAGGCTTTGTAACTTTGGACTAGGAAAGCAGTTGAACACCTAAAGCAGAGCTTGATGGACCATCCTCACAGGAGCTTGCAAAACAGTGCTGAGAACTACGCCTTCTGTGGTGGCCCAGATCAAGAACTTCAATATTACCAACTGGGCTAGAAACCAGTTTTCTGATACTTTGACTAACAATGTAGCTGCTTTCTGCTCTCTCCTAAGAACTTGACTGACGTTAAACATGTGGCAATTAGTAGTTGCTCCTATGCAGGTGTACAGTGAAAAAGAGCAAATGGGGAAGAAATCTAAACACACAGTTTGAAGAGGGAAAAGAGTCCCAGGAGACTTCACATGGGATCCTGTGCTGACAGGGAACAGGAGATTGAGGAGAGGCAGACCTGAGATGGAATGCTGGGAGGGGCATCAATGCCCTACTCAGCTAAGCTTCCACCTTTGAAAATAAAAGGCCTCAAGAATTTTCTGCCCTAAAATAAAAACTGCTATAAATGATTGAAGGGGACCAGGCTCCATCTCAAGTGTAGTTATTGATGGTTTTAATCTACTTCCTTTTTATGTGATTTGTTCAGGCTCTCTGTTAATGTTATGATCAATGGCTTTGATAGTTTTCAGAGCTACTTCCAATGTGGACCTCATCTCCAAAGTCTGTCTTCGCTCTGTGTTTCCTCTGAACTTTGACAGTCTGTGTTCCCTTTCTGTGTCTAGAGCTGCCATTCTCACTGTTCTGAGACTATTGTGTAGGCAGGATTGGGGAAGGCTTTGTGATTTTTGCCTGTAGTGTTCATCAGGCTAACTGTATTGCAGGGAGACCCTCAATCAAGGCCTGGAGTTCTGCCGAAAGATGCAGAGAGCTGATGGCTCTTGGGAGGGGTGAGTAGGTACTTGGTGGAAGGGGATGACCTGTGCACAGGGTTGGGAGTCTGCCTTACTGCCTTCTTCCTGGGAGACTCAGGAAGTTGGGACTTCCTGGTAGATCATGTTCCTTGGCTGATGCTTGCTCTTTCATTATGCTGAAAGCTGTGTTGTAGGGAGGCAGTTGGGGTGCCTTTGCTCTTGGCCCTAATGTGATTATTCCTGAAGCTGTGTGCATCAGTGCCTTGATTGGAGGAAGCGGTGGCTGAGCCAGGGGATGTCTGGGATGTCTGTGACAGATTGCATTTAGCAACTGCCAAAGTCCCTTCCTCCCTCTTTTCTCTCCATTCCCAACCTTCCATCCTCTTCCTCTGTCTCTTACTTTGTCTTTGGTTTTGTGAGACAGGATCTTGATGTGTAGCTCAGGCTGGCTTTAAATTAGCAATCTTCCTGGGTTAGCCCAGTACTGGGGATGCAGGCATGTACTACCCCATGCTCCATTCCAGTTATGCCCTTTCTACTTGAGCTTGTCCCAGTACCTGGGTAGAGTACCTGTACTCTCAGTTGGATCGAAGAGCATGCCTGACATTCTCTTGTCTCCCTCTAGGTCTTGGGGGGTTTGTTTCACCTATGGTGGCTGGTTTGGCCTGGAAGCTTTTGCTTGCATGGGGCATATCTACCAAGATGGGTAAGTGCAGCCTCCAGGCTGATGGCAAGTGAGGGCAGCGCCATGATCATCCCTCTGGTCTGTTACTCTGTTGCTGTCATAACACACTGACCAAAAGCACCTTGGGGAAGAAAGAGTTTATTTTAGGTTTATACTTTCAGGTCATAATCCATCATTGAGGGAAGTTAGGAGAGGAACTGAAGCAGAAACTATGAGAGAAACCCTACTCAGCTAGCTTTCTTAAACAGTGGGCTGGACCCTACCACCTTCTTCAGTTGATCTCTCTTCCCAGGTGACTCTGTGTTAAGTTGACAGTAAAACTAACCAGGTCAGTAATGCTCTGCCTTGGAGGTTTTTTCCCCATTGACACTTGATTTTATTTTGTTTAATATTTTAAACAATGAGATAAGATCACTATTTCAGGAAAAAGGGAATTCTTTTTTTGTTTTGTTTTTGTTTGTTTGTTTTTTGAGACAGGGTTTCTCTGTATAGCCTTGGCTGTCCTGGACTCAATTAGTAGACTAGGCTGCCCTCAAACTCATAGAGCTCTGCCTGCCTCTGTCTCCCCGAGTCCTGGGATTACAGGCGTGTGCCACTGCACCCAGCTTGAGAAAGGGAATTTGAAGGACTTATTTTCTTGGCTCATAAGCCTAGGGTAGGGGTTACCTCAGAGTCTTATACAGCTGTCTCTTATCCTGAGTGAGAAAGGAGTAGGGTCTAGAAACTCAGGGGTTGATTCAAGCCCAGCTTCTGGCTGTCCTAGCCAGTGCTTCTAGATCTAGTGAGTTTGGGGAGTAGGGATATTGTACTAAGCCAGATACAACCCAGAAATGCCTGGGTCTGTTTCAGTGTGCCCACATATCAGCCTGCACGTGCATGTAGCTGCAGAGTGTTTGCTCAGCACCTCTGTGAGGCATGCACAGCAGCATGCACAGCCTTATCCACTCAACCCCTACAGGCCCCTCACTTGACCCTAAGGCAGCCAGGCAAAGGAGGATAGAGAGGGCTTAGATCCTCCTAAGATTGGAGTCTCCAATCTCCTCCTCTCTCTACAGGGCTGCTTGTGCAGAAGTATCACGGGCCTGCAACTTCCTCCTGTCCCAGCAGATGGCAGATGGAGGCTGGGGGGAGGACTTCGAGTCCTGTGAACAACGGCGGTATGTGCAGAGTGCCAGGTCCCAGGTCCATAGTACGTGCTGGGCCCTGCTGGGCTTGATGGCTGTCAGGTAAGGACAATGGGACCATCCTTGGGCATGTATACCAGGGACACTCATTGTTGAGGAGGTGGCCTGGGGTAGTACAGATGTGGGAAGAGGTGAAAGTAGCCACAGGACTGAGCCATTCATTATTCCTCTGTAACTGTGGATGCAGGCAGCTTCAGAAACCACATAACCTATTCCTAGGCTAAGTGGCAGCCTGTCTGGCTGCATGTTACTTGCAGATAAGATAAGATAAGATAAGATAAGATAAGATAAGATAAGATAAGATAAGATATGAGAGACTTATCTCTTGGAAATGCTCTACCTATCATCCATTGGTAGTCAGTATTTGTTGACTGAGAAGCTGGGGCCTGAGGGAAATGAGAGACATCTGTGGTGGGGAAGTTGGAACCATTTGGAGAGCTTCCTGAAATCCCTTTAGTCGTGTGTACAGGAATCCCAAGAACGTTATCCCAGGAGTGTTATCATCAGTCTATTCCCAGTCAGTCCACCACTGCTGGCCTTGGCTTCTGTCAAACCCTCAGTCCATGGGGTGTCTCACTCCTGCCAGCAAGTGCATCAGAGCACATAGCTTTTGTGGTTTCCAGAGAGCAGAGTAGGTGTGAGACTTGTCTTCCTCTCTAGAGAGTCTAGCAGCACCTTGTGCCAGCCATGTTGCCATGTCAACCATGTCTTCCAGGGACAGAATCAGGTCTATAGGAAATGTATGCCCACTTGTCCGTCCCCATACTTGCACATGCTCTGTTTCTCAGGGCTCCTGAGATTATAGCAGGAGCCTCAGGTATTCTGGTTGTTGAGGTTTTCCTATTCATTGCCATAATATGTGGAGATTTTGTTGTCCTTCTTCTGGGATGCATGTGTATGCCACATGCTAGGTATGTTCATACCCATCTTCTTGTCCCTCAGGCATCCTGACATCACTGCTCAGGAGAGGGGAATCAGATGTCTGCTGGAGAAGCAGCTCCCCAATGGAGACTGGCCTCAGGTGTGTGAGGGGCCTTGGGCAGTAGTTCCAGCATTGAGTTCCAACTTGCCCATTAGTTTTCACACGCTTTCCTATGCCCTTACTCCTTTTACAGTGCTTTGGAGATCTGGGATATGGACACTGCCAAGCAGAGGCTTGTCCTGGTTATAGATCTAAGATGTGTTGCTGGGTCTAAGTGTTGAGCTCATTTTGCTATTTGTAAAAGAAAGTGGCTGTGGAAAGGACTAGAAACTTGAAGTTTTCCTGCAGAACCACAGCTCTCCCGTGTGCTTCTTGGGTGTGGCCCCTCACTGACAAGATATGCAGATGGGTTTCCATGTGTCCCTGTGGCTGTGGGGATTATTAGACACATTCCAAGGAAAAATGTTTACTTCAAGCTGTAGTCTCTGAGCTGGGACAAAGTTGAGCAGGAGTGCTGCCAGCCTGTGCTTCCCTGTCTTTGCTTACTTATCTTTGGGTCATCAGCTCTCCCTAAGCAGAATTGTCCTGGGGCTGGGAAATTCAGTAATCAGGACCATCATCCAGAGAGAAGCTTCTTAGCTGCTTGTTTTTCTATGTCCTTCCAGGAGAACATCTCTGGGGTCTTCAACAAGTCCTGTGCCATCAGCTACACAAGTTACAGGAACATCTTCCCCATCTGGGCCCTGGGCCGCTTCTCCAACCTATACCCTGACAATACCCTCGCCGGTCACCTTTGAACGCACATCTGTCTGTGTTGCAGCTGGCCAGAATCATCACCATAGAGTTCCTGGAGAGACTGGGGTTTTGGCAAGGTGATAGGAGCCTTCTTAGCCCCACTTTAGGCCTTGTCACCTATTGCAGACATGGGGCTGGGGATAGGGTCAGGGTTGGTGCCTTGACACTTGTCAGTATAGCTTTAGTTCTGAGACTTGCTTCAGTGAGAAAGGGAACAAGACAATCCTTGGAATTCAAAGAGAAAGAGTGTACTCTGCAGCTCCTGGATATATCCTTCTTGAGGGAGTGAGGCTATAGAGTTTTCATGACCAATGACTTTCCTGTGAGGAGAGCAGCTGGCTTCTTCATATTCTCCCTTGTCTACTATAGAATGAGCCCCTGACCAGACTCCTGCTTGCTGGGCTGGGGGAGTTATGTCAACCCTGTGATGCTGGTATGCTCAGAGAAAGGCTCAGTGGGGAGTGAGGTAGGTGCCTAGTTCACAGGTGCCTAGTTTCCTGTCTTGGATCCTAGCCTGTGCTATTCACTGCATTGCTCTCAGCCTCTGCCAGCAGCAGATCTGCCCCTAGTGGCAGCAACTGTCCTTTGGAATTTGGGCTGTTGTCCCCAAAACAGTCATGACCAGATCACTGTATGACATACCAGTTTTCCAGGAAGGAAATATAAATTTGCTTTATCCTAAAAATGTTACTAAAAGTCATTTAAATGATCACTGACTCCCTTAATAAACAGACATTTTGGGCTGGAATGATGGCCCAGCAGAAAGGAACACTGACTGCTCTTTCAGAGGACCTGGGTTTGATTCCCAGCACTCACTTGGTGGCTAATGACTTTCTGCAATTCAGTTTCCAGGGGATTTAATACCTTCTAGCCTTTGTGGGACTGCACATGTGGTACATAGACATATATGCAGGCATAACACCCATTCACATGAAATAAAGCTTGAAAATAAAATGTTAAAGACAACAGTATTCCCCCCTTCCCCTGACATTTCATCCTGGAGCACCCTGAGGTTGTGTGGCAAGGACAGATGTAGCATCCAATTCTGCACCTAGATTATAAGCTCACACACATTGCATTGGCTTCTGGGACATCAGTGTCCTGATGTCCTGGCCTCTCAGAAAAGCACACGGGGGAATCCAGGCATAGAATAACAGGGGTAGAGCAGATAGTAGCTGTAGTGCTTTCTGCTATGGGACAGCACTGTAGGAAGGGCAGCTGACCACTCCAGCTCACCGCTTAGACCCACTGAGCCAGCCAGGCAGCTGTGGCTCTCCCGTGACCCAGGAAAATGCTCGTGATACCCAAAGGCCATTGCCAACCCTTATGCCAACTGTGCTTTGAGTTCAAGTGAGGGCCAGATTTCTGAGGTGATGCTTCTTGAGTGTGAGTTCTGGATCCCTGATTTCTAACTGTGTCTGCCAGCATGCAGGCAGAATTCGGTGTGGAAAATGTGTGTCTCCTTGAAGTTACCACTTTTCTCCCTGACCATGGTGAGCAGGGTCCAGCCTGATGCCTTCTTAGTCTTAATACCTACCACCCCTATTACTTTCTGTGCTGGTGGTAGCTCCAACCTCTCCCTGGCCCAGAGAGCTGTGTCTGATTACCGCTTTTCCTGCTCAGGACCCTCTAGGGCTGCCCTCTGCCATGGTGAGATACCCTGAGGCTTTGTGCCATCTGCCTCCTGCCCAGCTTCCACCACTACCGCCTTGTGCTTTCCTGTCTTGCATCCTAGCCTGTGCTGTTCACTGCACTGCTCTCAGCCTCTGCCAGCAGCAGATCCGCCCCTAGCGGCAGCAACTGTCCTTTGGGATTCCCAGTCATGACCTGTATACACTGACACGGGATCAGTTCCCTTATCAGTAAACAGCTGATAAACATGCATCATGCTCTAAGTGTCGCGCTGTAGCGTTGTCATGGTACGTAGGATTACCAGCCCCAGTTTAGGGAGTTCTCCAGGCTCAGCGGGGAGTTGGTGGGGGACACTCACCAGATTAACTGTCCAGAAGAAGCCCTTAAAGATTCTTGAAAGTTTTAGCTCGCCAGGGACAAATTTGGAATGCACTAAAGGCTTTTCCTGTGGAGTCATAGGAGATTTCCTCTGTTCACTGTGATGTGAACCTCAACATTCTTTTTTAAATGTTGGATTTAAAAAAGAAATTAAAATTTTTTAAATGAGGGATTCTTTAGTAAAAAATGTTGATGTTTTTTCACTTGTGAAACAATTTTGCTATGTGGTACTCGCTATGACATGACACATACTACGTAGTCCAGGAAGGCCTCAAGCCTGGGGTAGTCCCCCGCCTCCACCTCCTGAGTAATGGGATTGGAGGATGTACAACCATTCCCTGCTGAAGTGCCTGATGGACGCTCCTCTCTGACAAAATATTTTTCCTTCTACAACATAACTTACTGCTAAGTAGAATTAAATTTACTAAGACATTTTTCTTTTTTTAAATAAATTTTTGCAGTATGCTGTTTTCACATTCTTTAATTTAGTTTAGCAAATATGACTATATGGTGATATATAGTTAATCAACCTGATTTATAATTAATAATTAATTAGAGACAAGGTCTCACTGTATAGACCTGGCCAGCCTGGAACTGGCCATGTAAACTAGGCTAGCCTCCAGCTCACAGAGATCCACCTGCCTCTGCCTCAAAGGTGCTAGGATTAAAGGTGTGTGCCACCATACCCGACTTTCAACTTGATTTATTTTTATCTCAACTTTATTTATTGACCTCTTTTATACAGATATTACCACTATCTATAGTATAAATGACTGTATTTTAAAGTTTCAGATTCTTTATTCAAAAGTTCTCAAAAGATAAAACAGGAAAATCCAACAATCTGACTAAATGTACACTTCTAAAACAGTCTTTGGCATTTAACATCAAGTCCTAGGAAGGAAACTGCATATCTTGAACCTGTAAATAAGGTACCTGGCAAGTCTGCAGTATCATCAGTATAGACCAGTATAGATCACTATAAAAATCTTTTTTAAGAAAAAGATTTGTACAAAATTTTGTGTATATATTTAATTTTTAAAATAATTTAACAGCTGTCTAGTACATGATGTTTAGCTGACTTTTGGTTTATATACAGAGGTATATTTCCCAAATCAGACCCAGATGAGTATGGCACTCAGTTCAGACATACCTAACAGCAGATTTTTTCTCTCCTTCTGACTAAGCTACCAACTTCCTGTCTTAAAATGCAAAAAAAAATATCAAGTAGTAAGAGACTGGGCTGATAAACACACTAGGTACAATAGTGGTGTTGTGTTCCGCCTGATGTTCCACAATACAGAATGTTTTCCGGTGTGTAGACCCAATAATACCTTAAAAAACGAGCAAAACCACATTTCTCTTATGACTGTATAATTTTTCTCAGGATCCGTACTTCTCAGAGCAGCAAGGACATTTGAAACTATGAAATGTCTCTAAGATCTATCATCAAATATAAAGCAATACAATTTAAGAACTAAGAAATACTCAAAAGAAATAAGTACTTAGCCCTAGCTCCCTAGTTTCGAGGTGGTTGATGGAAATAGGGAGGGCCAGCAACCTATTCAGCACAAAAGAAAAATAGCTTCTGAGGCAGATAACTGATCATACACAGATGACCAGACAATACACAGTTTTGGAAGACAATTTGCCATTACTTTTTTAAAAATTGCCTTAAGACTGGATGTGCTGGGATGGGTTTGCGGGGTGCGGGGAGGTGGCTCCCCTCTTCTGAGGGGCAGTGGAGGGGGAATAGGAGGGAAGGACCAGGAGGAAAGGAGGGAGGGGCTATAATTGAGATGTAAAGTGAATAACTAAAATTAAAAAAGCACTAATAACTGTGAATTATCTTGTATGTACTAAAGTAGAAATAACCATGAATCAGCAATCTCATAGTTTCAAAACTGGTTTTGTTTACACTTGAGCACCTGTAGTGATGACATAAAATGTGGCACTACTTGGATTAAAATCTTCCTCTTTTGTTTGTGTCTCTGTGTGTCCATACATCACTTCAAATTATAAAACCTCATGCAAAGGTACAAAAAAGCACATTCTCTTCATTGCAAACTGGCCTGGCAAAATAAAGAGAAGGTGTAATGCTGAGACAGGGTGGAGCGACTGCCTACTGGCTCTTCTGTCTTTGGTGAAGGTACCTTTAACAGTGCCAAGTCATTTTTATTTTTTCAAATTTACCTCATAGAGAGAGCGCATAAGCCTATGAGCCAGCCAGCAAGCAGTACCTTCCTTCTATGGTTCTTGCCACAGTTTGGCTGTAAAGTGAGCTCCTTGGTCAGAGGTAATAATAAACAAGCCTACCTTTGAGATTGCCTTGAGTTCCTGCCTTGACTTCCCTCAGGGGTGGTGGCATGGAGTTATAAGCTGAATAACACCTTTCCTTCTCCTAGGTTGCTTTTGGTCAAAGTGTTTCTAATCACATCAATGGAAATGAGACTAGGACAATCTGTTAAGAAAAGATTCTAGTATCAATCAGCACAAGCTCAGTTGCGTGAATTCATCACCTGAAACAATAGAGACCAACACATCCAGGCGCTTCTGTCATTCACATGCTGGGTCGTGAGAGGAATCTTCAGAAATTGAGAAGTATATTATGTGACCATGGTGAAACTAGATGAGGAAGGAATTTGGAAAACCCCCAAAACTTGGGAGTTGAGCAGCGTAATTCTGAATAACTTGTGATGAAATATGAAGTCAAGAACAGAGTTGAATTTCATTATTCAGGTACGGGCGTTTCTAGATTATGACTTTGGGAAGGTGAACTTTGGTGATTTTGGCCAATGGTTTCCCCACTTGTAGTCTCTTCCTGTAGGTCCTTTTATTTGGATCTACCTGATCAGGTGATCGCACATATACCAAGGCTAGTATCAGGAAAACTAGTGTCTACTCACTGACTTTAGTTTCTGTTTGTGCACAACATACTGTTCCTGCTTTATTAAAGGTACTGATAATAAGTTTATAAATTTATCTCTTTTGTTGGTGGTGGTGACAGGGCCAGTTTGAGACAGGGTTTCTCCGTGTAGCCCTGGCTGTCCTGGACTTGCTTCAAACTCACAGAGATCTGCCTGCCTCTGCCTGCCCAAGTGCTGGGATTACAGGTGTGTGTGGCCATGTCCAGCTTATCTCAGATTTGTCAAAAAATAATATCTTTTTAAAAAAGATACGGGATCTAGGGAGATGGCTCAGAGGGTAAAATTACTAAAAATATAAGCCTGACACCAGTTTTATCCCTAGAACCTAGGTAAAAAGTCAGATGCCAAAGCACCCATCTGTAATCCCAGCACTCAACAGCAAAATGGGAGGTAGAGGCAGGAGAATATTCCTGACACTTGGTCCAGCTAGGGTGAATAGGCAGCACAGTAGCAGAAAGAGAGATCCTGCCTCAAAGTGGAAGGTGAGAACCAATTCCCCAAAGTTATCTCCTGATCTTTACAGGTATGCAGGTGTATGCGCGCGCGCGTGCGCGCACACACACACACACACACACACACACACACACACACACACACACACGATACCGGGACCTCTGTGGTCCATTGGGGCTGCGTGCTTCATGATTCCAGCTCTGACACGATAAAGGACAGAGAGCACAGCACAGGACCTTCAAGGCCATGGAAACTACCCTGTAGGACACTGTAGTGGGTACAGGCCACCCTTACACATTTGTGCAAACGCACAGAACACGCAGCTGCAAGAGGAAAGCTGGGTGCTCACCATGCACTGGGTGATAGGGGCATGTCGCTTTCAACAGTTGCGGCCTCCGGTGCAGGGTGTTGGTGGGGAGAATGTATGATTCTGTCGGAGCAGGGAGCGTGCAGGTGATCTCCACCTCACTCCCAATCTTGCTGTAAATCTGAAACTGGCCCTTACAAATAAAGGCTTTAAAAGACAATGATGATGGGAGCACAGGAGAAATTCAAGCTGAATGACAATTAAAGTGACATCAAAAGTTGTAGGATGTAGCTAAAGCATGCAGGGAATAAGAATTCAAAAGTAAGCTAAACAACTACTTTAGGAAGCCATAGTACGTATAAAGAAGGGAATAATAAAATGAGCAAAATGTCAAATGCAGTAAAAAGGTGAATCAACCCAAAGGTTAGGCCTTAGATCCTCTGCCTCTGCCTCCCAGGGGCTGGAATTAAAGGTGTGCATCTGGCTTCCTAAAAACATTTTAAAGATTGAATTATAACTCTAAAACATTCCCAGAAGAAATCTAGACTGATAGCTTTACTGGCAAGTTCTAACAAACATTTCAGAAAATAATTTAATTAATAATTCAAATAATTTTAGCATGAATACCCCAGAGTCGGGACACTTGACAACTCATTTCGAAACATGATAGTGTAAAATCAGATCAAGACATTACTGAGAGGCAGCTGAGATGCCTCCACAGGTAAAGACAACTTCTGCCACCCTGGTGACCTAAAATCCCCACCGTCCACATGATACGAAGAGAGAACTGACCCCTGAAAGCTGTCCTCTGACTGCCACATGTGTGCTATGGCGAGCATGTGCGCTCACGCATAAACACACAAAGTAAGTGAATGAAACGCAAGAAGGCTTGTAGGGGCTGGAAAGGTGGCTCAGTGGTTAAGGGCACTGGCTCCTTCCCCAGGGAACTGGGTTTGATTCCCAGCACCCACAAGCTGTCTCACAACTGTCTGTACTTAAGAGTTTCAGGGGACCTAACATGCTTTTCTGGCATGCATGTGGTGCACAGATATACACACAGGCAAAACACCCAGATAAATACATTTATAATAAATTAATTTTAAAAAGGCGTTAAGTAGAGGTGATTCAGATCGGTTCTGTCACAAATGTGAAACTAAACAGAATAGTAACAAATTGAGTCCAGCGACATATGAAAAGCATCATGATAAGTAAATAAACAGAATGTTGATAGCCTAGTGGCTGGGTGGCCCTTCCATGCCAGGGAAAAGAGGTGACATCTCAGTGCAGTTAGACGCTAGCAGGAAGGGACCACACGGTGATGACAAATGCTTTTAATCCCAGCACTTGGAGGCAGAGTCAGGTGATCACTGAGTTTGAGGCCAGCCTGGTCCACAGAGCCAGGTCTAAGATAGCCAAGGCCACACAAAGAAATCTTGTCTCAAAGAAAAACAACAACATTCAAGGGCTTCGAAGCCACTTAAGCACTCTGATCCTGGGAACTGAATGCCTGACTTCTGATCAATGCTTTTATGTGCTCTGCTCTCTGTTTTTGAAGGCTACTGAAAGCCCTTAGTGGCTCCCATTCAGGTTCCTATTGCCCTTGTCTGAGGAGAGAGGCCTACTGATCGAACATTTGATGTTTAAGAATCTCTTTTCTCCACAAAACCCAAGTTTGCTGTACTTGAAGTATCATACTAACATGGCTGCCTGGACTGAATAAAGATTTTTAGCTGGGGACAGTGCCAATGTCTGCACAGAGTGCCTTTAGACATTGATGGAGAGCCCCGGATATTGGCAGAGGAATGGTAGGCGTTGGATATAGGTTTTCTGGTTGTGTCCTTTCTCATCGAGGAGGACCAGGTAGCAACCATTGAGCATCTGAGCAGCCAGTACAGGAAGGCCTGATTCAGAAATCGAGGCCGCCCACTCCATGGAGCAGGAAGAGCAGGACGCCTGGGTGACTTTCCAGACACCCTTATTAACTGACCACTGTAGCACTCCTGTGTCACAATCCCTGCTCTACAGCGCCTCATCCCTGACTAGTCCACTATCTGGCATGGAGTCAGACAAATGTGCTGCCTTCAGGCTTTTCATGAGGGAAATGGGATGATGTGATTCGTAAGTGGCCTCCCCTTCCATCTCTGTCAGGGCTCCTCTAGAATCTCCCTGGAGCTACGGGGAAATCATGGGGTCCCACCCTAGGCTGCTCACCTCCTCTGCTCTTATGGTCCTTTTCTCTTTTAAGTATAGGTTCCAAGAGTAAGGCTCAAAAACAGTATGTCATATACCCTGTAGGTTCTGGGAGCCCCCACTGGCCTGTGGTCCTGTGGAGGCAGGAAATGACAGGTTAACCTCATAGGCACATGTCTTGGGAAGAGCAGTCACTGAGATACAGTCAAGTCTCTGCTATGGCCTGGGGACTTCATTGTGTGGACAGCATGGCTCGCCCATGCTCTGTTCTGGCCGCTTCTGGAAAGTGCTGGCAAGGCCTGGCCTTGGGAGTCTTGGTACATGCTGTCTTCCCTGTGTAGGCTGCCTTCTGGAAGGTCATCCTCCTGCCTTCACATTCCATAGACCCTGTTATCAACAATGTCGTCAACTGATGTTCTCCACACTCAGTCCTTCTGTGGTTTGAGGTGCATGCCTGCATACTTTGTATGCTTCTGGCTTCTCTGTGCATCCTCAGGCCCAGGTTGGTTTAGAGAGCTCTGGAAGGTGGCTGAGGAATGGAGGTTGGCTCTGTGGCACTGCCTCTTTAAGGGTAGCGACATCACAAGGCTGTGGAAGGCCAGGCAGCCTGGAACTCCGTGTCCTTAGGCTGTTTCTGTGGGGTCTGCGGGCTCTGTATTTCCATCTCCATGGGGCCACAGGCCCACGGGTGAGCACTTTAGGACACCATGGCAGAGAGTAGTGAGCTGATGAACAGGCTCATGAGTGAGAACGCAGACCTGAAGAAGCAGGTGCGCCTCCTGAAGGAGAACCAGATGCTGAAGCGGCTGCTCAGTGAGAGTTGCCAGGAGAGCTGTAGCCGAGGGGGCCGGGACCTGCTCTTTCCCAAGACCCCTACCTACCCTGAGGCCTGCTCCCCAGGGAACGGAGGTGAGGTGCAGGCCTTGCCAGGACAGGACAGCTCCACCTGTGAAGGGTGGGTCGTAGGCCTGCTGGTGGGGCACCTTCCAACCTCTTAGGCCAAGAAACCTGTTTTGTAGACTGTCCCGGAGAAAGCCTTTCTCTCAGGGACACAGCCCACATACACGTGAGTGGTGGAGAGGGCATGTCAGCTGGTGGATACGCCTGTTGGCGGTTTTGAAGAGCTGCCACCTGGATTAAAACAGGCTGGGTGTGTTCCCATGACTCCAGGCCTGCTGAGGTCATTTCCATTTTATTGGGCCTGGCTGGGTGGTTTCATCCGGCTCTGCGTGTTTCTTCCTTTGCTTTGTAGCAGCTGGACCCATATTCTTGTCTCGCAGAGGTGCAGGTGTACCTCCTGAGGAAGCCAACATGAGCCTCATCCATTCATTTGCCATCAGTTGAAAAGAGTCACTTGGTTGAACCTGGCCCCAGGAAGGGGGTGCAGCACCCACCCCAGAGGGAGATCCTGATATTAACTCTTGGGCGTGAATGGGTGACAAAGACTATGGTGCTACCACCTGTTCACCAAATAGTATCAGCTCAAACCTGTGGCTTTTTGAAATTCGGGGAGGGGAGGAGCATGTGTGGAGCTGATGACCAATTCCTGCAAACAGTAGTTGGTTGTGTTTTGAAAGTTTGTTTTTTTTTTTTTAATGTAAAAATTTTTTTTTCCATTTCCATACACAGTAGTGTGATTTGGGGTGTGGTTGGACTTTGGCTGGAAGGGTGGGCAGTGGACAGAGCCCTCCCCCATCACTGATACCTGAGAATGCTACTGACCCAGCGGGTTCAGCTTCCTGAAGGAAGCGACGGCCATTCATACCACCTGGCCAGAGTGGACGGCTAGAGAGATGTTCCAACCCACCAAGCCTTTAAGGAGACAGGCAGCCTGATGGTAAACTGTGGGGTTAGCCAGGCTGTCGCCCACTCCTGTGGGGTATCTTGGAGGTTAGCTGTGAACCTGTCAAAAGGCAGACTGTGAGGACCTGAGTTTGGTGTAGTCACTTCTCAGAGTCCACTGGGATGTCTGCCTCTGTCCTCTCCACCCAGCCAGCACTGAAAAAGCATTTTGTAGTGCCCTGGGGCCGGGTAAGATGGAGACAGTGTTGCTGACAAGTGGCTGAGGAAACAGAACATTTGTTGGAGGGACCACACTCAGGCAACTGGGTCACGTGTGACATCCTGGAGCGAATGTGTGACATCTGTATCGCCATGTGTCGTGGTGGCCGTATAAGCACCAGCCCCCACGTCTCATTGTTGCTGACCAGTGTCAGGGACTGGCAAACCTCATGCCACCTGGCCAAGGTTCCAAGGGTGTGAGAGGGATCTAGTCTTGCACTTTTACACATGAAATGCAGTTTATTTTTTCCCCAGAACTGTTTGTTGAAGAGACTCTTCTTTTTCTCAGAACTTTTACATTTTTGTTTCTTGGCCCACTTTGGCTTTCTGCTTCTTACTGAGCCCTTTAACGTCAGTGAAAAGGCTGGGGTGAAAAGACGTTGGGTGTACACATAGTTCCAGGAATCAGAGGAACCACGTAGTTAGTTCCCAAGTGGACGGATATGGATAAACCTGAGAAATTTACATTGCGGAAAAACTTAACGTTTGTGACGGATTTGGAAAGCATGTAGCTATCACTGAAGTGAGGGTGGTTGTGAGTGGTTGTGAGCACACCAGTGCCCACTTGCTTACTGTCGAGTTCATGGGGGAGGGGCAGAGTTCTGGTCAGGACCCATAATGTTCATCCACATCTCTCTCTGTGCTTCCGGATGTGTCCGAGTACCTCTAGCCTGACTTATCCTTTTTCTTTTCCACCCCAGGTCCAGAGTTTGGAAGGTTTGCCGCTGTCCCTGACACATCCTCCCACCTACAGACATCTTCCCTGGAGGACCTGCTGTGCTCACATGCCCCACTCTCCAGTGAGGATGAAGCCTCCCCGGGCTGTGCAACCACATCTCAAGTGCCTTTCAAGGCCTTCCTCAGCCCTCCGGAACTACAGGCACGCATTGCCGACAGGAAGCTGTCACCACTCCTGAGTCCCTTGCAGGATTCCCTGGCTGACAAAACCCTGCTTGAGCCCATGCGGCCTAAGAAGGTGTGCTTCTCGGAGAGTAACCTGCCCACTGGGGATAGGAGCAGGAGGACCTATTACCTCAATGGTATGGTACACACAGGTGGCCCTGGGCGGGGAAAACCATGTTTAGAGCCATGGCTCTGGCTAGCTTCTCCGGTGTGGAAGCGTTGGGAGGAAAGCTAGGGTGGGCCTGGGGCCAGGGTTATTTATGTCTGTCCAGGCCTTTTGGGAAAAAAATGGAGTCGCTTGTCCTCATATTTAGCTGAAAAAAAAAAAATCTCTTTGTATGGTTCTGGCTATACGTCCTTTTTGGTTTCCTAGGTATCATGCCCCCCAGTGTGTGGGTTTTTCACCGTCTACTGTTTGGTTGGGGGAGAGATGAAACTATTGAGCATCGTCAAGTAGAACTTCCTGATAGTTTTTCTTTTGTCCTCTCTAGTTGTTTGCGCCCAGTTTAGGAAGTCTTAGGTTTTGGATTTAGGTCTCTCACTCGTTAAAAGTGTTTGGTCTGTGCTATGAGGTTTGCATGCAGAAGCTACTTCCTGCTCCAACACTTGAAAAGAAGGCTCTTCCCTGTGGAACTGCCCCGGCATCTTGTTAGAAAACTGACCTCTTCCCGACTGTGAATCTATTTTTGGACTCCTGTGCAGCTCAGCCACCTGTGTAGATCCACTTGCACTTGTGTTTGTGGCTCTGTGTGAAACTATAAATCAAGTTCTGGCACCTTCACGTTCCTCTCTTCACTTTAGAATTGGGCTGGCCATCTTTACAAAAGAAAGTCTGATGACATCTTGACTGAAATGATTTTGGACCTATAGGCCAATTATGTTGATTTTTAGACAAAGGTACCTTCACAATATTGTCATATATATTTCTTAATTTTAATAATTTTTGAAATTAAAATATAATTATCTGACTTTCCATTTTCCTTTTCTCCCTCCAACCCCTCCCGTGTACCCCCTCTTTCAAATTTATTATGGCTTCTTCTTTTTTAGTTGTTGATGTGTGTGTTTGTGTATGTGTGTATATGTGTATTTCTCAATATATGAATGCTACCTGCTCAGTCTGTATAATTTTATTTGTATGTATATGATTTCAGAACTGGACACTGGAATTTTTTAATGAACACAGTTTATATTTATTGAGGTCTTTAAATTTTATTTATTTATTTATTTATTTATTTATTTATTTATTTATTTATTTTTGAGGCAGAATCTATCTACATAGCTCCAGCTGTCTTAAAACTCACTATGTAGCTCATACTGACCTCAAACTCACAGAGATTTGCCTAACTCTGCCTCCCAAGTGCTGGGATTAAAGGCATGCACCATCAGGTCCCAGTCATAAATGTTATTAACAGCATTTTATATTTCAGATACATGTAAATATCTCTATATATTCCTATATAGTTACCTGTATGTTGAGCTCTGTGATAATTTATGAGTCGTGTGTCAGTCTGTCCGGGCTAAGGAACCTAGTCATGTGGCCGCCCATTATACAGGCTTGCTTGTAAAGTTTTTTTTAATGAGATTAGTATTTAAATTGATAGTCTAGATGGAACAAATCACCATCCTCAGTGTAAAGCAGTTGAAGATGTGGAGATCCCCTGAGAATTCTGTCTTCCTGAGGCTGCTTTCAGACCTGAGCCTTAATTATTAGGCCTTTCTGGTCTCTATGATACTAGCCTTTGGAAAGGAATTTTATCTGCATCATCAGTTCTTCTGGCTTTGCTGTTTGCCAACTGCAGATCTCAAGATTTGTGGGCTCTTATAATCCTGTGAATTTCTTATAATGAATCCCTTTGTGTATATACACACACACATACCTGATGAACCGTGAAGAACACTGAGTAATACAATTTGTGTCTTAAAAACTTGCAAACCTGTAACTATTTTGATAGATTCCTTCTGTTTTTATTTTATTTTTACAGTACAAGGACTGGACCTAGGACCCCCAGCATGCTAGGCAAGCACCCTACTGCTGAACTATATCCCAGGCCCAATTATGTCTTTTGTGATGAAAGACAAGCTCATTGTGTTGTTTCTAACTTACGTCATTAATTTCTTTTCCTTATCGTATTACACTGGCTAGGTCTTGAAAGCAGTATGGAGTGGGAATGATGACAGTGACATATTTGTCCTTTTCTAGTTAAGGGAAGCTTTGATATTTGACGTTAGTTAAGGTTTTTGTAGATGCTTTTTATCAGGCTGAAAAAAAAATTCCCTTTGGTTTCTAGTTTGCTAATTTATCACAAATGGGTATCAGAATTTTGTTCAATACTTTTTCAATACCTATCAAGATGAGTATTTGTTTTTGTGATATGTTAATATATTGACTTCATCACTGTAACAAAACACGGGACACAGGCTACGTATGAAGTAGATAGAGATTTGCTTCGGCTCCTGGTTTGAGAGACACAAGTCTAAGCTCAAGTTGCCCTGGATTTGTGATCCTGGAGAGGGAGACACGGGGTAGGGGCAGCAGGGAAAGACAGACAGGGGCTTCAGTTCCACACTGACATGTGAGGGCACACGCCCAGTGAGCTAAGGAGCTACCTCTAGACTCTGCTTCTTTAAAGGCCCATCGTACTGCTACCCTAAAATAAAATCTTTTCATCTGGACCTTTGGAAGCCCCACTCATACCGTCGCCTACGCTAAATCATACTAATTTTTTTAAATGTTAAACTAACCTTGCGTTCCTGAGAGAAGCCTCATTTGATGAAGACATATTTTACTTTTCCACCTTGTTGAATTCTGTTTGCTCACGTTTGCTAAGAATTTGTGCTATTCGTGAGGATACCATTCTTCACTATCCTTGTAACGGAATTTTCTGATTTGGCTCCAAAGAATGAGATAGACGGTGTTACAGCCTCTTTAATTTAGCTGGGACAATTTATGTCATGTTTGTGTTATTTCTCACATGTTTGTCAGAGTTCACCACGGAAACCAACGTAGCCTGAAAATTTATTTGTAAGAGTGATTTCTTAAAAAGATTTATTTTTATTTTATGTGTATTTGTGCTTTGCCTGTACATGTCTGCACACACGCACAGTGCCCGTGGAGCCAGAAGAGGTGGTAGGATTCCCTGAACTAGAATTAAGGATCACAACCAAACCACCCTTATGGGTGCTAGGAACCCAACCCAGGTCCTCTGCAAGAGGAACAAGTGCTTTTAACTGCTGTGCCATCTCCCCAGCTTTTGTAAGAATGTTTTAGAAGTACAAATTACATTTTATTGAATGAGTCTATAACTATCCTATAGTTATCTGTTTGTCCTTGTGTAACATTTGGCAGTTTGTGAATTTTTGAGGAAGTGGTCTGTTTCATCTAGGTGGTCAATTTTTATTTCATGTATAAAGCTATTCGTAAGATGGGTGTGGTGACACACACCTTTAATTCCAGCACAGGCAGAGGCAGGTAGATCTCTAGGAGTGTGAGGCCAGCCTGGTCTACGAAGCAAGTCCAGGACAGCCAGGGCTCCGTTAAACAGAGAAACCCTGTCTCAAAAACAAAACAAAACTAAACCAAATAAACAAAACAAAACAAAACAAAAAAAACAGAAAAAGCTATCCCTAATATTTTCTTATTCCTAATATTTCCTAGTGACAGATGTCATTAGAGTGGTATCATTTTTAATTTTTGATCATAGCTGTTTCTGTTATTTTATTTTTCCCTGCCTAACTCTAGTTGGAGATGTATCAATTCTTTTTTTCTTTGACATACAGGCAGATCTTGGAAATTTTAGGCTAGTCTAGGGATGAGTCCTAGAACTTCTCAGGTATAGCATGGTTTCTCTGCCTAATTACTGCTTGGGCGAGGGACAGGAGGAGAGAGAGACAGAGAGCGAGAGACAGAGACCAAGCTGAAATAATGCGGAGAGGATGTATGGACCCTATCTCTCCATGCCTCCATCTACCCTACATATGTTTGCATGTTTGTATGTTTTGAGAAAGGCTTTCACTGTGTATCCCTAAGTGGTCTCAGGTTCATACCAGTCCTCCTGCACCTGCTTCTCAAATGTTGAGATTACATGTACCACTGGGCTTGACTGGGCCTATGTGCTTTTTTTGTCTTGTCATTTTTAATTCCTGGATTAAATATGTATATTCTTTGACAATTTTATATATGTATTAATGTGTTTTGATCACATTTATGCGTTTTTTTTTTAAATCCCCCTACACCCCCCCCCCGGCTTCCTCTGGATCCCCTCTTTTCCCTAATATATTCTCCCCCCAACTTTTGTGTCTTTTCTTTTGATGACACACTGAGTTTAATTATGGTTGCTTGCATGAATGTAAGTGGAGTTGTTTACTGGTTCATGGGCAACTTACAAGTGGCTACACCACTGAAGAAAAGTGGTTCCCCTTTCTCCAGCTGCCAGTAACTGCCCACAGCTCCTCAGCTAGGGCTGGAGTCCCATGAGCCCCTCCCCTATCCACTTTAGAATGTTGATGTGTTCAGGAGTGTGTAGGCCTTGCACAGGCAACACGACCAGCTGTTGTGAATTCTTGGGTGCATGGCGATTTCACGTTCAGAAGCAAACTTTCCACAGCCCTCCTTCCTCCTGGGGCTCTTACCTTCTTTTCTCCCCTTCTTCGGCAATGTCGCCTGAGCTTTGGGGATGGGGAGTGAGAAAGATGTGCATTTGAGGTTGAGTACTCAACAATAACTTTTTCTCAGCGCTTTGACCAGGTATGAATCTCTTCATTAACCACCTCCCACTGCAGACAGAAGCTTCTCTGAACAACCCTGAAAGTAGCACTTCTTTCCCGGGAATAAACGTAAATATTTAGAAGGCAGTTTGACAACATGTCCCTTTAGGGAAACAGTAATAGTAAGTTCCACTCTAGGGCCTATGACTTCCCCAGTCACGGGCTGTTGGCTAGATTTGCGGTACCAGACATAAATTCCCACCCATGGAGCAGGTCTTCAATCCAATCAGAAAGTGGTTGGTTACTCCAATAAAATCATGCCACTGTTGTCTCAGTTGGCCCATCATGCCTGCCTTTCCACTGCTGGGTGAGAGAGTTGATGACTCCCCCCCCCCCCAGCAAACTGTAGCACTTCTAGCACTTTAAAGCTGCCAGCAAGGAGGAAGCTCCCAGCCTATGTCTGGGTTTGTAATACTTTCTGTGACTGTACAGAATGACTAAGACAGAAACGCACTGAAAGGCATACAGCTTTAAAGAGCTAAAACAGTTTATTCCTAGGTTAGAAGACTTAATATTGTTTAATAGCCAATATCAATAATTACCAATAGCTCATTGCAACTCATCTATTCTAGCTAGTTTCTTTATGAAAATATATGCATAACCTTATAGTTATGTTAAAATATACAGGACCCAGGACAGGTAAAACAACTTTCAAAAATTGAGCAAAGTGGAGGACTCACACTTTCCAATTTCAAATTTACTATAAATCTATATTAATCAAGACTATCATAAGACTTACCATAAGGCTAGACATATTGATGAACTGGAAAGCAGCAAGCTCATGAATTTGAAATTTGATGTTATAATGTTACTAAGACAGTTCAGTGGATAAAGGACAATCTTCAACACATGGGTGTGTACATGCAAAGAGTAAAGCTAGACCATACCTCATATCATATGCAAAAATCAACTCGAAGCATATGAAAATGCTTAAGAGATCTAAGAATTCCAAAACTCATAAAACTTAAAGGCACAGGATTCAGTCTTCATTACCTTAGCTTTGACAATGGATTTTTAGGTATGACAACAGAAATCTATGCAACCACCTAAAATAGATAAGCTGAACTATTTTCTGAATGAAAAACCTCTTGTGCTTTAAGGAACACACACACACACACACACACGTCACTGAGGGAAATATTTGTAAATCTTGTATTGGTAGGGGAATAGTTCCAGAATATATAAGAACTCTTGCAGGATGTAGTGGCTTATTTTTGTAATCCCAGCTCATAGAAGGATATCTGATATGCAAGCCCTGTGAAAGGTTAGGGGTCACTCCAAGGGGTCATGACCCACAGGTTGACAACCGATGGCTTAGGAACTGTAGACAAAAGAATTTCTAGTTTTAGCCCAGTTTTGGCTTAACAGAAAGACTCTGTCTTTACAAAAAAAAAAAAAAAATGTTCGAAGGGCTCGGGCAGATTGGCTAATATGCACCATTAACCAACCTCACAAGGTAAATGAGAGCCACAAGGGGATCCATGCTCTTTCCCATCTGCAGGAAAAAAAAAAAAAAAAAAAAAAAGGCAACGGAGTACTGATGGAAATGCAAAATAGGGCAGCTGCTAGGGAAAAGTCTAGCATACTCTCAAAAGGTCATAGTTGTGACCCAGAAACCCTAGCGAACTGAAACAAATGTTCCCCCAAGAGGGGAACAGCACAAACAGCCATCAACTGACAAGCAGATAAATAAAATATAGCTTGTTTACATGATGAAATATTACTCAACTACCAATAGGATGATGAATCACCAGCACGTTACAAAGATGGACCCTGGTTATGCCAGGTGTATGATGTCAGACACGAAAGGGTGCCCATCGTGTAGTTCCACCTATGTGACATGTCCATCTTAGATAAATAAAGAGAGAGAGTGGTAGTTTCAGGGGCTGGAGAATGAAAAGCCATTGGTAATAGGAGAGGATTTGCTTTTGTTTGCTTTGGGAGGCCATGAAGACTAGAAAGAGATAGTGGTGATGGTTGTATAGCTCTGTGGATAACGGTGACCAGGCTGCTTTTACAGGCCAGGCTTATAGAATGTGAAGCCATCTGTGCTGCCATCCTGGGCTCTGTAATGTAGGAATTGGACTGAGGGAAACTGTAGAGCTTATACCCCTCAGAGTGACAAATCAACATGGGGCCTGTTCTCCACATGAATGACAGGTCTTTTCTCTCAAATTCGGATGAGGTTCATCTTTCAAAGAGTATAAGGTTTTGAAAGGATATTGGGATGTATTGCATTTTTTAAATAATGATTTCTAGGGGCTGAAGAGATGGCTCAGAGGTTAAGAGCACTGGCTGCTCTTCCAAAGGTCCTGAGTTCAATTCCCAGCAACCACTTGGTGACTCACAACCATCTATAATGTGATCTGGTGCCCTCTGCTGGTGTTCAGGTGTGCATGCAGGCAGAATGTATACACAACATATAAATCTTTTTTTTAAAAAATAATGATTTCTATGATACCAGAGGCTGCTGTGTGGAGAAGGGTTATTTGGGGGCATGTGTGTGTGTGTGTGTGTGTGTGTACACAGGGTACAGAAGGATCCAAGTGTCCTGAGAAGTATAAGAAGAGTAATGAAAAGAGACTCTCCCGTCAGCCAGTCATACTATCCACAGACATGGCAAGGTTGGGCTGATACTGAACTTTTCGACATCAGCCAGTCTTTGATGGCAATGGTGTGGACCAGAAGAGGCTGGCCCTTTCCAGAGCCAGGCTGTGATGCCCCTGCTGACCTGAGAGAGGTTGGCAGGTGGTCTGAACGGCATCTGGGCAAATGTTGTTTTGTTTCCTCTGAAGAGGATGAGATGAGAGCCATACCCAAACTTTACAAATTCACAGCTTGGGCTGAGCCCAGAGCATTTCCGTCTAACTATCCCTGTATCTAGTCCTGGAAGCTTCTAGCCTCTGTACAATCTAATCTTCTGCAAGCCCAGACTTTGAAGGCTTCAGCTTCCAGCCTTCATCTGCTAACCTAGAATGTTTTCAGCCTCCGAGACTTACTGCTAAATAAGCTGACCCTTTCTAGTTCTGTCTGAACTCTAGCTGGCTGGTTCAACTCAGCTGTTCTGGCTCAAAATTCTCTAAGCTGAAAACAGGCTTTCCCCCCTGCTTCTCACTGAATTGCTCTGCTTGGAAAAACTTCCTCTGAACTCCATGAACTGAACCGAACTGCACTGAATTCTACTGTGGTCCCAAACTCTACTGGACTGTATCCACGAACTCTCTGCTCTCTCTCTCTGTTGCTCTTAAGTAGCTTCTCTTTCTTGTGTGGTCTCTGAGAGTTAGGCATATCCTAGCTCTGGCTCATTCTGTCAAATCTTTCTCTGATTTGTCAGTTTGTCTTCTCTTCAACTGGAAATCATTGTTTGGGATTAAAGGTATGTACTAAATTCCAGCCAGAGGGATGAAAGGTGTGTCTTAAGGGTGTGTCTGTATTTTAGACCACACAGACCTCGGCCTTTGGATGTGTACTTACCATGGTAGCCATGTTGCTGGATTAAAATTCCTCTGCAGGAGAAAGCCCCACTCTCTCTGGATAGACCTGGGTGCCATCCTCCCTAGGGCCCCTTCTCTCTTCTGCAGGTTCACATGGCTTTTTGGCATCTCAGGCAGAGAAGGGAGCCATGTGCCCAGGTCCCAGGGAAACACGCTGAGAGCAAACAGAGAGGGACTAGTGCCCTCGCCAGATCCAAACATCTCAGCTTTTGAAAGTTTTTCCTTTACCCTGGCAGTGGGGGGCAAAGGTACCTGGGTACCTTGAAATGGTCAGAACGGGGCCTGTCTCACCCAGAGATCCAGAGTTTTGCGGGTGCTGAGAAGGATGGCCGCATAGTCGGGGAGATCGCGTTCCAGCTTGACCGGCGCATCCTGGCCTATGTGTTCCCCGGGGTGACGCGCCTCTATGGTTTTACAGTCTCCAACATCCCTGAGAAGATCAAGCAGGTACACAGTCTCTGTTGTTCCAGGTCCGGGCTGGTACCTGGGTGCGTGAGGGGTACACCCTGCTGCTGTCGAGGCCTTGCAGACATGGACTTTTCTTGGGTCCAAGTGAATCCCCTCCTTCCTCACCTTCCCTGCCTTCCCCGCCAAGGGCTCACCCTTCGGAAGTGCTGACGGGGCCTAGGGCATCTACTTCCCCTCTATGCCTCCAAGTCTGCCCTGCTCCTACCTACCTCCACTAGGGTCAGAGACTTCTCTGATGTGGTGCCTCGTCTCCTCTGCCCTGTGTCCCTCAGACGTCTATCAAGTCCCTAGACGGCTCGGTGGATGAGAAGAAGCTGCGTGAGCTCACACATCGGTACCTGACCCTGACGGCGCGGCTGGAGAAGCTGGGCTACAGCCGCGAAGTACACCCGGTCTTCAGTGAGTTCCTCATCAACACTTACGGCATCCTGAAGCAGCGTCCAGACTTGCGGGCCAACCCGCTGCACAGCAGCCCCGCTGCACTGCGCAAGCTCGTCATTGACATCGTGCCACCGAAGTTCCTGGGTGACTCCCTGCTACTGCTGAACTGCCTGTGTGAGCTCTCCAAGGAGGACAGCAAACCACTCTTCGCCTGGTGAGCCGCTCGCCTCACCCTTCCTGCAATAAACGTGTTTGTTCCAAACCCGGGGACCACCCGCGTCCTCCCGCACGGAAAGCTGTCTGCCCAGCTACACTGGGGAAAGGCCTCCTCCACGTCTGCGCTTGCCCTGGGCACTCAGCAGGTCGGGCTGCGCACGGCCATGGGGCACCTGTTGCCTTATTAAAAGCTTATTTATTTGTTTGCCTTACCTCTGGCTCTTTGAGGGCGTGGAGAGGTGTCTTGGTCTCGGCTGGCCTGCGAGAACTGTGGGTCAGTGTTCATGGATGGAACTTGGGCTGGGCTCCTTAGCACAGTGTCCTGGAAGGCCTCAGTCTCACCCTTGAAAGGACCAGTAAGTTCCCTTCCAATTTGGGTTTCTCCGAATACAGAGCTGGAGGCAAGATGGTTGTGGAACCCACAGTGCCTATTAGAGTAGAAACACAGTCCTGTGGTCAAAGTTAGGGACTTTGGACTATTACAGCAGAATGGGTCAAGTCTGTATTTGGCCTGTGTGACTGCGCATGTGCTGGGCCGGGGATAAGCTCTGTGGAGCAGGAATTAAGGAAGGGGCAGCAACACAGGGAAGGGACCACTAAGAGCCGCGACGGGCTTAGTTCTTGGGACCCAGGAGATCTTCAGTGTTCTTGGACATTGGCCAGAGTGGCGAGGATGCTGTGACTCCACATCATTTCCACCCCCCCCCCCCACACACACACACAGGTAACTCCCTGTGCGCACATACACTGTTCCAGAGTCAGCCCTACAGCAAAGAGACGGAACCCTCAACCAATCAGTGTGGTTGAGTCTGGGGGTCCAGACGCAAAGGCCTGGACTGGTATGACACTTGGCAAGTTTAAGAGCAGAGATGGCTCAGGCAGTGCAGGTAGCTGCAAGCTGGCCCCTGTGCTATCCTGGGTTCTGAGGTTAGGGCCACTGTCTTGCTCACTAAATTATTGGAGCCAGAATACTGAGTGACATCCTTGAGGGACCAGACTCTTGCTTAGTATACATGTTGAGTTCTGAGATGCCTATGGGTTAAAGGCAGTGCTGAGTCCTGGTGAAGGGAGGGGCCAAACTTGACACCAGGGCGGGGTCTAGCCAACCTGGACTATAAGCCCTTGAGAGGCTCTGGCTTAGTGTCATTGTCATCAGCTTTCCCCTCTTAGAGTCACCTTTTCGGTCATTGAAGCAAGGCAGTGAGCATGACCGTGTCCAAATAGTGAGCACTTGGAGCTTTCAGACCACAGGCCTATAGCTGTATCGTTGTCTTAGCCAGATTGGCCACAGCCACTTCCCTTTGAAGGCAGCAACTGGATGTTTAAGGCACGCGCCTGGATTAGGCTAGTTAGCTGTAGCTCACAATTCAAATAGGAAGTATCCACTGCTGCTGTGCAGGGCTATGTGGGGGATGGTTAGGATGGTTCAAAGGAGAGAGGTCTGTGGCAGCTTATTTGAGGAGTGGGCAAAGCAGGGAAGGTGAGCATGAACAGTTCAAATTCCATAGGCTTGGACTATGATGGAGGAGGATGTCTCTCCTGACCAAGTGTCTTGCCCTGACCAAGACACTTTTGGAGGTCAGAGACCTTGGCCTAGGGAGAGTTAAGTTGGTCATTTTGCATAAGAAAGGCATGTTTACACACTGGGAGCTACTATCTCACAGTGGATAGAATAGTTTTGTCAAATAAAACAGCAAGGCACCCAAGAGGTCATGGTGTAATAAAAGAAGAAATAGAAAATCAGCACAAGTACTCAAAATAACCCTGGGGTGGGAGGGACAGAGTGGATTGGTCCCTGGGCTATGAAGAATTGGAAGAATTGGGCTTTTGAACTTGACTATGAGTCTCTGTGTCCATCACTGTGATAAAACACCCAAGAAAGTCAATTTAGTGAGGAAAGATTTATTTAGCTCACATTTCAAAGGTTTAGCTAGTATCCCATTTGTTTCTGGGCCTATGATGGAGCAAAATACTCCTGGCAGGGGCAGGGTGGAACAAAATTACTCATTTCAGTGTTCAGGAAGCAAAGAGAGAACACAGATAAGGGACAAGGTATACCCTCTTCAAGGGCAAAATCACCCCAGTAATCCACCTTTTCCAACCAGGCCCCCATCTTTTTCCCCAATAGTCTATTCAATATGAACTCATCGATGGCCTAATCCATTCAAGAGACCAGAGTCCTCATGATCCAATCATGCCCCCAAAGCCCTTTCTCTTAACATTGCTTTTGTTGGGACCAAAATTTCAACAGTGAGCCTTTGGAGAACATTCCAAACCCAAACCCAAAGACACTGGGAGTGTGCCTAGAGATGAGGGGTTTGGTATCTCAACAGAGCCCCTCCCAGGTTTCAGTGTCTGGTGTTCTGTTTAGAAGGCTTGGGAGTGTTCCTGCCTGAAAAGAGAAAGGACAGTGGTGAAGGATGTGTGTGTGTGTGTGTGTGTGTGTGTGTGTGTGTTTCAGGCAAGATTTGATAGTGGTGTAATTTGCCTGAGTCCCCTGGAGATGGGAACAGGTCGGGCTGGTTTCCTGTGGCCACAGCCCACATTGGAGGGGTGGAGTCATGCCCTACCTGCCCAGGGACCAATGCCTGCGTGAAATTCGTGAAATTCGATTTGGGAAGCTTCTGCATGGGCAATTTGTCCCTTATCTATGGACTCCCAGGTATCTGTTGTTATTAAAACAAAATCCCAAACACTTGATTTTACCAATAAAAACTTGGGAGCCAGTTGTTGGGGTAAAGGCCTGCTAGCTCAGAAAGGCAGAGAAAGCACCCACCTGACCTTCCTATTCAGCTGACACCCCAGAAGCCCTTACTCCTCCTCCATGCTGTCTTAAAAACCTTTCAAATGGAATGTCCCTTCTTTCTACTTCCTGTGTGTGTGTCTATCTGTCCTCGAGACTTCCTTTTGCTCTTTATGTTTTTTTTTTTCTCATGTTCACTTCCCATCAACTGGTTGCTTGCTCTGCCTTTTGTCCTAGGGTTAACTTTATTATTTAATCCTATTTACAGAAAGCTCTTAGGTTAAAGGTGTGTGCTAGGGCTGAACTACACCACAACAAGCAACAGGTTTATATATATAAACATTTTTATACAGGTATATATAACATTTTAAACAGGTGTATATATATTTATAAACATTTTTTTTCCAGTTCACAATCTCAGGGTTCACATGGGAGCAGATATCTGACAACAGGTATCTGGTCTGCCTTTGTGTCTGGGTCCAGCCTTTCACTTCCAGTTGTCCCAGCTTTGTGCTGCCCTCAGTGGTTTCTCGGTCTCTCCAGATGGCCACGGAGGGACTGGGTGATGTGTCTTGACACTCTGACACCCTGAGGCTTTGTGGAGTGGGGGGCATCTTTGTGAGAGATGCTCACGGGCTATCGTAGGATCTGTGGACCCCATACAGAAGGGCCATACCAGCTTCTGCCTAGAATTCGAATTCAAGAAGGCGTCTGGGAGTTGGAGCCATGAGATGGAACTTGCCATTCTCATGCAGCCAGAGCTGTAAATTTAAAGGAGTTGTGGCTCTCGAGTCAGCAGCGAGGCAAACTTGGGCTGTCTTTCCCTGCCTGCTCTGGGGAGCGCAATACCACACAGCAAATCATACCCACAGTATCACCTGCTTCACTCTCACACCAATTACCATGCGCACACTCACGCCTACACCTGCCCCAACAGCCACATGAACATGTAACGTCAATACTCACTCAAATATATATCCATATACCAACACATGCATGCATACATACATACACACATACACATACTATCCAGATATGCTCATACCAACATTCACTCATACAAATACGAGCCTACATTGCTACATACCAACACCCACATAGATGTAAATATTAACATCCATACTCAACACACTTATCCCAGTTCCCACACACATGTTCATACATTAACACTGAAACACATACTAGTAACACAACAGCATAGACATTGTGCTGTTTAGCTTTTATTATTGTCTTGACACAACCTTTGGGAACAGAGAACCTCGGCTGAGCGATTGCCCAGATCAGATTCGTCTGTGGCCTTGTCTGTAAGGCATAGTCTTCTTAATCTTGTTTTTTAGATTTATGTGTATGGATATTTTGCCTGCATATAGATATGTAGACCATATGCATGCCTGTGACCACAGAGGTCAGAAAGGTTGTCAGATCCTCTGCAACTAAAGTTACAGATGGCTGTAAACAGCTATGTGGGTGCTGGGACTCAAACCCAGATCCTTTGCAAGAACGACAAGTACTCTTAACTACTGAGCCATTTCTCCAGCTCCAGGAGTTGGCTTCATTCTTGACTGCTGTAGGAGGGCCCAGCCTGTTATGAGCAGAACTATTCCTTGGGCAGGTGGTGGCCCTGGACTGTAAGAATGAGTCAGGAAGCAAACCAGTAAGCAGCATTCCTCCGTGGTTTCTGTTTCATTGCCTTCCTGCCTTGACGTCCCTTAGTGATGGCCAGAGACCTGGAAGCGTGAGCTGAGATAAACCCTTTTCTTCGGCAACCCCCAAGTTGCTTTTGGTTAGAGTGTTTTATCATAGCAACAGAGAAGCAAACCAGGACACACACACACACATTCACGTCAGCACCCAAATCCAACACGACTCTCCATCTTTCCTACACTACACACACACACACACACACACACACACACACACACACACACACACA